AAACTGACACACTGACAAAAAATTGTCAAGATATTCGAGCTACTACAATAGCAGTAACACCCAGTGAATCGCTTGGATTACTGTTTTTGTAATTACGTTTGCTGCCATATTCTCGTTAACACCTTCTATTTCTGGCGTCAGTTTTTACTGACTAACTCGCATACCCGGCGCATTTCTAGTCGTCGTTTGTTTGCGGTAGGAGTTTCAGCGCTCTCTTCGTTGTAATCTATGAGATTCTGATAAATATGTGAAATCATTATATTTTTTAAACGATGTGAAGAACCCACATTACATGCCAGGATAATATCGCATGGTAATGGCTTGTATTAGGCTCTTCGAATCCTTTGCATCACATTTTATTTATCCGCCTTTGTCGGTAGTAATAAAAAAACTTCATAAGTACAGGTAAGCAACACAATGTCTCAGTATCAAAGAGAGTATATAGAACCATTTGAGGCAGTCTGCGATATACGAGTCTTGCTGACCTTATAAGGCCAGTCTGGGAAGTTGGCCAGATATGGTACTAAAGGATAACGGACGGCATGATATCTACCACAATTTCGTCTGCAACAGGAGCATCTACATGTATCGTCAGACCCGTAGAAGCCTCGATTCATTGCTAATGCACGGCAAAGCGAGTGACAAAATATCTGTTTAGTCAGTTCATCCCTTTACAATCGCTGTTTCTCATCGCACCCAAAGCAACGAAACTCTCGTTAATTGTGAATTTTATTTTGAGTTCTTAAGCTTCTTCTTGAAAGGTTACGCTGCTGGGAGCTTAGGGTGACGGCATGGGCCGTGGACAGTAGGGGCAAGTCAGCTAGGAGGGACGTGAAGCGATTTCGGGTCAGTACGTGTAGTACTTGCACTCATTTTAAGGAAGGAGGCGGTGATGCGATTCAGATGCTCAAGGTTCTTCGCTATAAGATCTTCTCAAATAGCACGCATCCTATATGCTGCGACTGATCGCCCCCGACCACAGCGGCCAACATTACCGGACCGGCATCCTTCGGTGGCGTGCTGTACTGCCGTTCGCAGAGATCACCGACCTCAAATACGAGAACCGATTTATCTAAGCAACACGCTACCTGGTGAAGTATAAGGTGTCAGTGCCCACTGGCCTACCGCCTCTTCTAAACTTCATCGGCTCTGACTTGCTCAGGCTTGCGGCCACTCTGCGACTACTACGTGGAGCTCCGCTAGAGCTCGCTGCACTTGGAATTTGTTCGACCCATCTATGCCAGCAGAAGTCGTCTGCATACAGGATGACTTCACCCGATTTGCTTAGCCCTCTTCTTTGATGAAAGAGGCTTTTCAGCAAAATGGAAAATAAGGGTAGGCTTGGGCTATCTCCCCAGTTGTGTGCCTAAAAAGAAAAGTTCGGCCACCCTGTCATTGATGGTTTTTTATGTTTTTGAAGAATCGCAGGGAGAAAGCTAAGCTCATTCATAGAAACACCCACCTCGACCAGTGTGAGCATAACCTCGCGCCGAGTCAGAGATTACCTTGAAGTTACCGAGCACCATGTATAGCAGACCGCGCGTCGTGGCTTGTGTTCTAATATTGGCCATCTGGATCTCGCACCCCGTTTCTGTGAAACGTTCTCTCTCAAACCCACATTGCTCTGCTGGAATGATATGTGCATCTTCTAAGTAGCTGTTCAGTCTCTTGGTTAGCAAGCCGGAAAGCAACAAAAACAGAAAATGTATGCCGCTATTCTCCGCCATGCTAATAGCACAGTTGGATCGCCCCTTCTTTTAAGGATAACATAGCCTTTCACTAATAGGATAGCATCTCTTCACTGGGCTCGCTGGAAGCATGCCTTTCCCACGTTGCCGCAAAAAAAACAGCGCGTATGGCAGTGCACCCCCTGCTGCAAATATCAATAAATTATTTTCAAAGCACGAGAAGGTAATTGGGTAAGTCACCAAATTACCGTAGTGCGTTAACTGCTTGTACGGTAATGTCCTAAATCGGCGATCAAACCCAAAAGTGATATTTTTACCGTCGTAACGTATACGTTCTTCGCCATATGGTATTAAAAAGGGAGGTTACTAACCTAAAGGTCATCTAAGGCCTCCGGGTAAGGCCGCAAGTACAGCTGAATCACGGCCTACGCTTTCGGAGAGGATGGAAAGAATTTGCATCAGATACTGCGCGTAAATTTCGTAATTCACCCCATCAAATACAGAAGGAACTTTGTGGCCGCGTTCCAACTGCTTGTCTACGTCCAGGTATCACGACGGAGCTTGGCGTGTAGCAACACCCCAGAGATGCTACCTACATTGTAAAGTCTATTACCATTCGCATGTAAGCACGAATGTTTGTGTTCTCTAATAAGGGATGATTTTTCCTTCTTTAATTTATCCTTCTTCAGGTTACGTTTGTCGCAAATATGTCGATGATATAGCTCTAGTGTGTCCTACGAAAGTTGATGTCAAGGTGGGATCGACTACCTGGCAACCAAATTTGCGAGTGTGTTTAAAAAGGCCACAGTAGGGCTCGGCCTTGGCTGTTCGAGGCAGGTGTGGAGGTCGCCAGCAACCGTCAAGCAAGAAGCAGGAATGGGAAGACAGTGCTTTTAGTCGATTAACGAACTTCTCTACCATTACATGCTTTGGACGTACTAGTAAGTACGTACTGGTAACGAAACACGTCACAAGTTGTATTATGGTCAGGGTAACGACTCGATAAGATTTGCACATATGCTAGCGACAAGGCTAAATAATTATATAATATTTACGCTTGATCTGTGGCATACGGCTGTAAAAGTATATTCTTCTTCCACTCCAGCTAGATCAGGTTGATGATTTTTCTCATTTTCTTATTTTTGAAAAACGCGGGTGGTGACTATTCGACACTGGACGAATACTCGTTTTACTTATTCTCTAGCGAAGTTATTCGAAAGTGATTGTGCTTAATTTTGTCAAGTTTGGCCAGGTATTCTATCGACAACTGAAAATACAAAGAACAAAACTCCCTGGGAAAGGTTAATTCGAAAAACGCCCTTATTTACCATTTATGATTTGTGATAGTTTGCCTTCGATTCGACCACCCGTCTAGGAAGTTCATATTGTTTACCACTAAACAGAAAAGAAAACTAACTAAATGAAAAAGACCAGCAAAACAGATCCAAACGAACGATGAAATGCCAAGATCCCAACAGAATCTATAAGAGCTACGGATTATAAAAGTACAGTTGAATCGCTTGATCAGTTGTACTAATTCTAGTCAATTGAATCAATGCGGCGAAATAGAAAAAAATACTTTAAGACTGATTGTTTTATTTAGCGTTCAATTAACTTTTTCATTTATTTTCCTAAACTAAAATTATTAATTCAGCGTTCAGATTAAGAATCTAGGTTAGCGATGGATTGGGGTTTGCCGTATCATCAAATTGTCGTTGTTTACGTAGTAAGCTTTAGCGTGTTCAATAAATTTTTGAAAATGAGCAAAAATATTGCATTTGCTGAGGTCATCGTGCCGTGCTGAAACAGCAATATTGTCCAGATACAAACTAAATCTTGTCTAAAAATACAAAGCTTGTTATTTTCGGTAACATGCAGCTGCGGCAACTGATGAAATCTTGCGCTTTTCTCCCCTTATATTTTCGTTAATCACAAGTATACGCTTCTATATCTTCAACGTGCAGTAGTTCCTGTCTTTGTTTGGAGCTTCCTATCAGGCAAGATATTATGGAACTTGATAGCAGCAAGGCTCTTAATAGAGTCCGGTCTTCGGTTCGATCATCTTCGCGCTAATTTATCACCTTAATTGCCTATTTTTGCAATACGCAACATAACGTCTGTATGTCGATCAAAGTAGTAGGTGATGTTTTATGAGTTTGAATTGATCTTTGTTTATTTAAGCTTAATATTATTATTATTAATTAAATTAAGTTAATAAATAAAGTTAATTTAAGCCGTCTGTGTAACAGACATGTCAAACAGATGGCTGTCTTCGCCACGAAAGTAGATCGCGCGCCTCTGCCTCAAAAGCATGGGATCCAAGCAGTACTCCCTTTTCCCTCACCACGACGGTTCCGGGAGAGGATTCCCTTAAGTATGCCATGGTGCACGATATCGTATCTGAAAGTAACAGCTATTTGGAAATTTGCGCTCTCTAGAATAATCTGATCATAAATGCTTCGTCTTTTTGCGTCGTCTCTGTGAACGCGATCTGCGCTCTTCATATCACGCTCAATACGGGAATCTAGGAAGTGAGCATGCTTCGTTAGTGCTCAAAATACTTCGAAAACGCAGTAGTGCTCGTGAATGTATATTGGCAAGCATTATATTGCTCTGCCATACAAACGAACCCAATATTTTTCTTCCATAGATCGAGAAGTCGATTACCCACTCTAGAGAGGTCGCGTTCTCCTATATAGATTATTTAATCAACGCTTACCCAGCTAACCCCTGAAAAGGTTCACCTGTTCAACTCGGACAGTGGGCGTAAAGAAGATCTGAATTCGTCGGACACAAAAAGACGTTCACAGCCAGGTTTGCTATTGTTGTTGACGAAAAACGTTGGCGCTTATGGAGACAACCTCGTGATGTTTGTGCTCCTGTTACTTGCTAAGTTTGACGAGAAGCATCAAAGCTTTGTTAGTGCGCCTCTAATTATGGCAAACGAAGTTGACCACAAAGGATAATCTATTGCGTTCGCTGCAGAACTAAGGTATTGCCGAGTCGCCGTTGTTGTAAATACGCACCGGCTGGAGAATTTTTTCCAAGTTCAACCTCTTACAAATCACCTTATATTCAGTGAGGGAACGTAATTCACTGGTGAACTCAATCGACTTACTGAAGAAATCGACCCGGTGCACTCAAGGATCCTGTTGCTGCTTTCTCTAACCTCGTTTCAGGAATTTCGGTCAAGGAGTAGCCAGCTCCGTGTTCAAATCTTGCAATGCCAGCAATCATATGTACTAATATTACAAACGGTGAGTTGTCCTTTGGTGCTGCAGATTTGCTGGAATGGCTCCGCGAGCAGTCGCTTCCATACCGCGCACTCTGGTATCTAGTCTCTCCGGAAGAGGCATTTATGACGAACGATGGCAGTGAATACATCGATATGGCTAATATCGTAAGTATATGATACGATTTACAATGACAGCGTAAAAGATGCAACAAACCGAATGTTTTCTGCACACCGTATGAAACACAAATTACTCTCAAGCGGAATGGTCTCGTCTACATTGACTTGATCAGGACGAAAAGTAGGTAAACATTGTTGTCATCTGTAGTCCAATATAATTCTGCTTTTTTTTTGTCAAACGATCTGCGGATTAGGCTCATAGTCTAAATTATGGCATTGGCGTCGATTTTATCTCTAACACGTGATGACCGAACTGATTTGCTCTGATTCCTCTTTTATTTAAACTGGGACTAACAGGTATTTCTAAGAAGGACAACTAAAGGCTCGATCTTTATGATATCGAATATATCCCACAGTTTTCAACACCTGCTTAATCTATCCTGTTTCGTTGAGCCCGATGACCTTAATTCCGTTCTTTATCACGCAATAGAATTAAAGCTCAAAATATGCTATCATGCATTAATATACAGTGATTTCCAAACGAGATTTCTGTCGCGTTAATTGTAAATTGACAGTCAGGAAAAGTGAGCGGCTAATTATCTATTAAGTTTGCTGGGCTTTCTTTTTTCAAATCCTTTTGCTTGTATCTTGTTGGGCTGTAGGTGTTTTTCTGGTTTCCCACATTGAACAACACAGAGATGCCCAGTTGAACTTTCGATGCCTATTACATTCTTTTTGCGTCGTTTTGTTGTCCATCTGTTACGGTGCATAATAATTTGAAACTCACTTTGACACCGCGTTGTTCTGCTGAGAAAAAGGGCAAGTTCGTGCTTTGCGATCGCACCCTCTTTGCTAGAGTAATTAAGCAGCTAGTCACCGCTACCCTTATTTAAACCCAGTAGTTCGCGATTGTCAACAATAGTTGCATACGCTTGTCTTAAAGCAAATTGTGTAAACTAGGGTCAATAGTTATTGATTACTAACTGAATCAGGCCTTACGCCCTATTATTATGCACAAACATTCTTTGTTAGGCAACCTAGGCCAGTGTATGCACGAGCGTTTTTTCAGAACGTTATGCTTGAGGAAAAATCAGCTTTGTCTTGTCACAGCTAGAATCACTCACCGTAATCCACCTGTGATGCCATTGACACGCCCCTTTTTCTTCCACTAGATGGCACTGCGCGCAACGAATGAAACGACGTTTCATCTCTTACGTACCTACGCGGTAAGCCAGTATTGAGCTAACTTCTAATTTTGAAACAAGCGCCACTTAGCTTTGGCTATATATAAAATTTTCAGCTTCCGTCTATAGCGGAGCTCTTGTCTATGGAAGACCCGACGCCGTATCTATCCTGCTAAACGAATCAAACTGTCAAATATCCGAAGCGTTAAATCCTATTGTTCATCTGCCTTTCTGCCTCAGTGTAAGATATCAATAAATACCTAAACAGGTAAATTCAACGCAACACAGCTTGACAACACGTGGTACGATAGCGTCATACGCCTATGCTTAGCTCATCGAATCATTTGCATCGCAGAATCGGAAACAATCAGCTGTGCCTGGATTTCCGCGACCGGTGTAAAAATATTTTTTGCGAATATTTCCGAAAGAAGACGTTAAGTCAATGATACTCGTTAGTCGGTCAAGATAGTGCAATGATTTATCTGTGTTTGCGCAGTGCCATTAGGGGAGATACAGGAAAACTTCGATAACTTAGTTCCCGATAACTGATACGGTAAATAATAGCTAAACGTAAGCCTTAACTTTGACATAGCGTTCTCACACGATGGACGCTAAATGCTTAATGGCGAGGTAGGTTCAGTAACACTCAGATGGAATATTTACAGATAAACTGAGCAATTTTCAACCTGGTTAATCTACATTGCCGTACTACTCCATATGATTTATTTACAACAATACTTCTATAGCTTTTTAATTTTTTTAAAAGTCTAGTTTTGCAATCAAATGTTCATCGAGCTCTGAAGTCAGGCGACAGCAGCAGAAAGCGCCGATGCTAAGTAATACATCCTGGCTTTGCCTGAACTCGCTCGACGCGCTAATACCTAAACGTAAATAAATCTAGTAATGCAAAAGCAGACATCTGTCAACAAATGTCACTGTCAAAATGTCTCAGACATGCTAAAGTCTGATTGCGCGTCTTCAGCCGCCGCTAGTAACGAACGTTTTTCAGAGATACAACAAGCCGCGAGAAACCGCATCTTTTTCCAGCAGCCTAACATTTTGATGGCTGTGTTAATACATTCGTTCAAAATTTTTATTTAAGGAGGGCATACTTTTGGCGGATGATATATACAGATGAATGGTTTTAGATAGCTAGGCGACGAAGCCACTGGATAGCCATCACGGCTATGTTCTAGAAGTACGCGACAATGATCTATATTTAAATAGGTTCCTCAGTCATCCCGTTTCCGGCCCGTCGCTGGTGGCGTAATAAAATTAGCGATGCGAATCCTTTACATAAATCAACGTTGACTCTGTGACATGTTTAAACCCAACATTATTCCAATAAAAGGTCCGCGAAAACGAAAGAACATAGAACAAGCCAGTAGCCTTGGCTCCATTTCACCGCTGAATCACGTGATTTAAATTGTCGCGCACAAAAATGCGATAGAAGCAACGGTGGCTTGGTCGGCCACCAGCGTATTTGTTGTCATCACCACTGTGCCTGCGAATGTTATGATATTTCAAGCTAATGCTATGTTTCTACAAAGCCGTAACGGGTGAAGCCTTTAAAAAATTTGTATTCAAGTAAATTCGCTCGCCCCGCCCAGCGACGCACTCACAGGAGAATATATGAGGCATTGCTGATCGCGGAAGCTGCAAATGAAAGTAAGGATTCAGTGGTTGACATGCTGTATATCATCGCCCGCCCAGGGGGTCGATTTTGTAACGGCACGATTTACTCTTGGAAATGCATACTTGCTTCCCTGTCTCGCGCGACGAACGAAATTTAAGCGCCATCACAGCACGGCAGCAAGATGAGCTTCAACGGAACGTGTCTGTTTGTAGTGTTTTTTTCATTATCCTGGCCTGTCAACTAGAACAGAGACTCGCACGCAGCAGCAGCAGCAGCAGCAGCAGCAGCAGCAGCAGCAGCAGCAGCAGCAACAGCAGCAGCAGCAGCAGCAGCAGGATCGATTCGAACTAGATCTCATTCATGACATCATGGAACACAAAGTTTGTCGCTAATTCCACATTTAGTTCTAGGAAAAATACTGAAATTATCCTCTATATATATATATGTGTATATATAATAAGTCAATTGATATATTGCAGGACACTGAAACACTATAACCAGGCTTCTTTTTGTCTGCCTAGTTCTTCGTACGGCAGAGACACAGAAGTCCCAGAATCAAGTCTTACGTGTGAAGTAGTGAACTGGTTACCGTATCAGTTAGTTACTTTATATTCGATAAATGTAAACGAACTTCTAATTTGTGCGGGTCAACCATGGATGTCTGCAATCTGTATATATACTACTTAAGTCGTTTCTTATTTCTTGTAGATCAAATAAGAAATAATACTTTTAAATATATAACGAGCATTGCTTATGGCAATCAATAGAAATTTATCACTATATAAAAATAGTCGCCTAGGTTCAATTCCAAATGCATTCAATACCGGTATCAAAAGTAGCTTCTTCTGCACTCGGCTTCCCAGTAGAGTATCAAATAAATTAGGGTGATAAGTCCTTGACAAAGATGGCAATTTGTCGAAATACGTTAATGTATTTGCTTTTTAGGATCTAACGAAATATGTAGAAAGGGACCGACGAGGCCTGTCCTACATCTAACAATATGTTTACTACGTTAAAATAGACTACACTGCGTCGTAACGTGATAGGACTTATTAATATAATAGTAACTTGACGTTCCTACTCCTTTTTTATTATTATAAACGTTACATAAAAGAAAAAATAAAATGATTGACCACACCGTTTACTACCTACAGCGTCGTCCTCACTGCGGCTTGTCCACATGCGATGTAATTTAAATAATTCTCCACGTTCGTCGTGTCTACGCCGATGAAGCTATCATTTGTAGTAGCGATGAACTTTGTTTCTCTGGTCTTAAACGCAAAAGGTTACCGCTAAAATGACTGAAATTTCGTATCTAATACGCGATAACTATTAAAACTCATAGATTAGAATAAATAAAAATGTACTCTTAAGTGTACTCGTGAAATCTGTCATTTAATGATTGTTCAGTGCATGCGAACGATGCTCTTGTGCAGTCGTAACCAACAAACCAGAGATGGCATTGTTTTGGCAGTAAATAGTACTTTTACTGGGCGACAAGCAAGCAGGCCTGTTTACCAACAACGGGTGCCGTAAGACTACTTTGGACCGGTTGTTCATACTGCTGCTTTTGTAAACCTACGCATGTAACGCGGTAGGACAAGCATGGCACCACGTGAAACCGTTAATTATTTCGCCGAAGTTTTTTTTTTGTCAAATTCGACGCAGCAACAACGACTGGACAGTTCCGCGCTTCATTGTCCGTAACGTTTTTACTGAAAATTAGAAAATGTTTCTGACGTAACGTTATTATTACGCGGTGTACCCAAGTGATTAGGTTGTACAACGTCACTCTCTGCGATAGCTTATCCCAGGTCTACAACCAGCAGCTGATGAATACGAAACGTTTACGGGCAAGTGTCGAGATAGTACAAAGTAAGCCTTGAGAAAATAGCTTGTGACAGCTGGATATTAATGAACACCTACTTTTCCGGGCTGATCTGGAAGAAGTTATGTGCTGGTTCAAATGAAATCAGCTGGCCTGAAAGCAGTAACGGTGTAAGTGGGACAAGAAACAGACGAAACGATTGGTTTATCGTAGTTCTTTCCTCTGATCATCGATCAAGGACTATGACTTTATTTAAAATCGAGGAACAACCTATTGACATAACATTGTGCCTAAAGTGGTTATGCTGCATGGAACAGGCTAACGAAACCGGGTTGAATCGTCGTACCAAACATAACCATGGAACTCTGCTTTGAATACGCGATGCGCAGAGAGGCCTAGTAAATGACTGAAAAATTACGGTGAGAAAAAGAAGGCTACCTTTTTGAAACTTTAACATAAATGTTTTTTTTGCCGATAAAAAGTAGAGCTTCAAGGTTATTAACAACTTATATTCTTAATGTTTCCTTAGATCATGCTCAAAGCAACCGAAACTTAATAGTGCTCAGTGCAATTGCTAGTTATACACTTCTCTAAATCGCCATAGATACTGCTACTGCGCATTTGATGACCTTGAATAATATCCATACTACTTTCAATTTCAACTTTTCCGTATAAGGACTTCGACTATATGTCCTAAGGGTTTGGTAGACTCCTCCGCTTGATCAGGCAACTCAACACGCACCCAAAGATCGCAAAGACCCAGTTTCTCACCAGTCAGTCAATCAGCTATAGAAAAGTGATCAGGTGACATGTTGGAATGCAATATCTACTTTACTCGTTGCCATTTTTCTAGGATCGTATGGGTTCTTTCGGTGGGTAAGAAATGCATATATAGATATTGTAGTCACAGGTTGAGTAGCAGAGATTATATTTTCGTCAACAATTTTTAACAAAAATTATATCTTTTTTTTTTATAAAAACCATCTAATTTCCCGTTAGAACTTATTTCTAATTGTTTTCTACTTCAACAATGTAAAATTATTAATCAATTTGGTTAATTGTATGTGGAGTATCATGGCTATAGCAAACGTTAGATTTGAGATTTAGATCGTGCAAAAATAGTTAGCTCCGATTCTAGGAAGAGAGATTAAGTTAAGGAAATGTCTTTCCGAATCATACGACTCTATTTGAATAGAGTTGTTTACAGCAGTCCTTGCTGTCCACTGAAAATTCATTGTAATTTGGGTATTTTTATTCGATGTGGAGCTCCCAGTCTAAAACAAAAGCTCTTATGTGGCCGTACAATAAGAAAGCAATTTCCACTTTGAACCAGAAGATCTATTAGTATCCTTACCCTATGTACCTAAAGCCTGACAGTATAGCTATCAGAAACTACCTTAGCCTAACGACCCTTCTGAAAAACAATTAACTGAATTCACAAGCAGATTTAAAAAAAAATTTATTAACTTTTCTTTCTACTTTTTTATTTGAATTTTAAGAACTTTTATTTGCGTAACATAGAAATCGTCTTCTTTTTGCGTACTGGTCTAATACCCCGTACTCTTCTCGTATCCCGTTATCCGTGTGCGATGTAAAGGCCTGAACAACTTTGTGTGACAGCTTAGAAACATGGGCCTATTCTCCGAACAACTAGAATAGCTAAAGCTATCATCGTGTACAATGATATCTGTCGCGGAAATATTTTTTAGGAAACTAATTAGATTGTTAATAATTAACGACTGATTCCAATGTTGCTTTTTTTTGCTATTTCTACATAAATAGAAAGCTGCATAAAGAAAGAGCTTTCTCGGTTCAATGAGCTGAAAAATGAGGGCTTGTAACATCAACTAATCTATTCAGCATTGCTCGTCAATACTTAGTTTGAAAATTGTATATATTGTCGGAAGAAAATTCGTTTATGCGAAATCTATGAAATTTTTGTTCTTTTGTTTGAACAGACCGTACCGGCATTTCGCAACCTTATTATTATTCAGGGCATTTTCCTTCTAATTGTCGGACGAAAGATTCTTCATCCATCTGAGGTAATCGTCAACGTTGGTCAAGGTATGATCATGCAGGTACGTACCGCCGTTATCTATATAACAGGTACAATAAATTCGACAATTATTACCTACTATTCAAAATACCTTTAAACCATTTTCACACAGAGCTGACATAAGGTCAACGATGATAACCATCGCTTTTAATCTGTCAGTACATCTCGTTCGAAGTAATTTGTATTATATAGGAAACACACAGAACTTCTTATAAAACGCAATAACTAAATAGGACAAAATAACCCTTCGTGTAACCTATCTTAAAAAAGACAGTATGGACACAGTTGTAAATTATTTTTTAAGCAATTTTACGAAAGGAGAACGATGTTCGGGGCAAAATTGGTACCACAACGATGTAATCTTAAAACAAGATTCGATGCGCGTATTAGCGTTAACAGGTCTCTTCTTCGAATTTCCCTGGAGCTAAATCGATTATATACGTTGGAAAAACGACACCAGCTGTTCTTAAATTTTTAAAGAAAGAACATTATATAACATTGTTTTGATGAATTGTGGTCTACTTTTGTTTACTATTTGAAATGAACAGTACAAAGGCCTTGAGCCCTCCTCTTGAGACAGATCTTATAAAAAAGCACACGCAGGGTGTTCAAATAGAGTCAACTTAAACTTATTCATATTGCTGGAGTGAAATTGTACTTAAGGAGACGTTATTCATTGTTGTACGATTCATAGGTCATACGACTTATCGTCGGTCTTGGTGAATTCTACCTGTATGACCAGGTAAATATCTACACAGCGAAACAACGTGTAAAAGATGCCCTTTAGTTACTTTTGCATAAATGACCGATGAATACCATATTTTTTTTCTCACTGCCATTGTCACTGCTTATTTCCTTTTTAGTTAATGAATTAAATTGCGAATATGTAATCTTCTTCAACGAACTTAGCAGAGCTTGATTCACTTTGAAGAAACCGGCAAAGATTCTCATTAGCTTCACAGTCTTTTGCGTGTTTTTTATATTGTAAACATTGTGAGGAAAACATTTCTGAAATTATTTCCCTATGATTTTACTGAATCCGTTTGTATTGAGCCTCCCCGTAGTCATTTTGCCTGGCTGGACTATCGTTTGTTCCAATAAACGAAGCGAACATTTAACATTAATCATACCTAAGTGCACTACAAGGAATGCCTTTGCTGTTTAGAATGAAATGTGAACGTTAGGTATTCACACATAATCAAGTAACACAGAATTATGTTAAAATGACACAGGTTTACAATAGGTGGCATTGGATCGATGCGTCACGTTGGGACCAGTGGGACACTTGGATATTTGGAGCAATTTTCTTCGATTTGTGTTTCTACGTCTTCCACAGAATGGGACACGGTAAGATAAGAGTGCCACTGCCACTGCAATAATATGGGTTGCCGAAAAGTTGTTTAGTTGACTGGAGAGATCGTCGCTGCTCACCTGTCGGTCTTGCTTGGCTTTAATTAATCATAGTTTTCTGCAAATCGGCCGACAGACCACTCCGAGGAACATTTTTTACATCAGAACCATGTTTGAACCATTTCTTCCATTAACTATTTAGCACGAATATATACGTGCAGTCGATAAATAGCTGTGCTATCTCACTCCCAAGTCAAAAGAAATTATTCTTCATCTGTAAACGCCTCTTAAAAAAACTGCTGATCTTTCTTTCCGGGGCTTCGTTACGCCGCAGAGGTGCATTTGTTCTGGGCGATGCATCAGGTACATCATTCATCAGAGGAGTACAACTTATCAGTATCACTTCGACTATCCCACTTTCATGACTTCGTACACTTCGGCCTTATCTACGTGCCACTCGCGCTCTTTGGCGTACCTACGAAAGTGTGCTTCATTCATAAAACATTGAATTTGCTATTTCAGTTCTGGTTACACAGCGAAGTGAGTAAATAAGTAATGGAATGGTTTACAAATTCAACTGGTTTTGCCAAATCATTCTAAAACCCTAACCTTCCCTTACCAGGCTTGTTATTAACGTTGATTAAATAAAACTGCCTCCAACATATATATGATAGGGTGTACCATAAAAGTGCTTTATTGTGTTTGTCTAGTTTTAAATAGTAACAATGCATATGCAAGATTATTTGCTTACGTATATTTGATTCCTAATTAATTCTGGTCCTAGTACTGCCCGAAACTCGGCCCAATAGAATGGATTTTCATCACCCCAAGTCACCACCGTGTTCATCATGGTAAGTTTCGAAGCTAATATGTTACAGGAATTTTTCTATACACTGTATTTGGATTATTAGTACGCGCGTATCCACACCCGCATGGATTTATTGTCTAAGAGGACCATTTTTGGTGGATAATTTTATACATTGAAATCATTTAACGTGAAGGTCAGTTGTACCTCAGGGGAGATTCAGTTACTTTCATTGAGAAAAACTTTGTCAGACTGGTCGCCGTAGCAGGACGCGGTCAGTGGTTCTAGAAAAAAAAACTAGTTCTTTCTAAAACCAAATAGGAAACGTATCACTGCAGAGACAGAAGACTCGTATTTCAAACATGAGCGAAGAGTAATTACTATCTAATATCTTCACGCTGAACAAACACACCATTGAGAAGCTTGACGGCCAGGCCTGAAAATGATGAACCATGTTGTTGCTGATTGGATCGCTTAGATGAGTCCCAACGCTGTTCCTGGTTTTCAATTTTTCAGGAAGAAACACCAAATACCTTGACCGCAACTACGGCGGATTTCTTGTGATTTGGGACCGTCTATTCGGTACATATCAGGAGGTACTGTATAACGATAAAAAAACTTAAATTAGGAAACAGGGTCGATCATGATTAGCACTTGAAATTATACGCCGGTGTTAATATACAGAGAGAGAACTGCGAATTTATATTTTTGGAATTGCATGCACCTATACGAGTATATGTGTCATTCAGAAACATCAATATATATATATATATATATGGTCTAAACAAGAGACAAATCGTTACTTATTGGATTTCATATTAAGCATCACTGTTATACTATATATATATTTACATTGTTTTGTTTGTATGTATGATGAAGTTAGTTATATGGCTCGTAGGACGTACACGTGCATAGTGCATTCTACCATAGTTCGTTAGCAATCGAGCGTTATATTGAGCTTTCAGTACTATTATTTTGTACTACTAGCCATACCAACATTTCCAGAGGGAATCTCTGTCTATCTCGATTTTTAATGCCTCTACGTGTAGGAAGAAGAGACGCCTTCGTATGGAATTACAAAACAAATTAACACCTTCGATACCTTCTACATTCAACTGCATCAATTTCGCGAAATTTATCGGAATGTACGAGATCGAGAAGGTAAAGTTAAAGACACTTGTCAAATAATAAGTTAACCAGTATTAGTCAGTAAATAATAGGGTCACCGTCAGCTGCCTGTTCTCAAGGAGCTTGATTTTCGTTAACTCAAAATGGAATTAATTCTGAGATAGTAGCACTATGAACCCTACTGTTTGGCGGCAAGATTTGACTATGCCTAATATCTAAATTCGAAAATTATACTGGTTTATAACAGAGTAACCGAGTGAAAACAACAGCTACGTAGACAATTGTATAACTTTTTGACAAAAATGTATAGTACGTATCTAACGATTCTGTGGATATTCTCAACTGACTGCGTCGGGCTGGTTACAGCACCTGAAATCAAACCAAATAGCCGTTTTTATGGTTTTTTTTCAGGATATCGGAATAAACTTTACTCGATAATAAAAGGGCCAGGCTGGGAACCCGGTTCACCTTGGACAGGATGGACCCACAAAGTAACTACTTCGCTTATAGACATAAAATCCCATCAAACAAACTATCGTATATATTGAAATAATGACTGATCGTCAATCATAAACGTTTTGAGGCTAAAAATTCGTAATGAGCGAAAACGACTTTATTACCTCAATATAAACAGCGTCTATTTCGTTGGACAGCGATTTGCGTAACATGCACAGGGAACTCATACCGTGTTCTTTCAGGTACCACCTACCAAACCCGAGCGACCTCGTTTCCGGGCGCAAATTTCGTTATTCTGGGTCGGTTACACTTGGCTTCAATTTGCCCCCTTTGCCGCTGTTTACGGAGAGGTGGTGCAGTACTACCACGTATGTAGTTCGTTAAAAACACAATATTTCTCTCCTATGCGCTCTTCCGCCGTGAGTGCCTTTTGATCTCAAGAGGTAAGCCGGCGGCTGGAAATCTTTATAGGATACTTGAATAAATAACTTCTACATGCGACTTCTATCAGAAACGCTTGTACTACTGAATTGCCATAAAATTAGTAGACCTTATAGCCCTTAATGGACTGAGACATTGTCTTAGGTCGAAGTAAACTTTGAGGAGATTTCGGATGTCTATTGGTATGTGAGATTAAAGTTTGTCCCATAGAATCTGTTCCATATTCAAAGCTTCGTTTTTGTGTCCTTGATGGATTACCTATATTATAGGATATGCATCGGAGTTCGCTGGTGTTTATCCTTGTTTATATGTACGCGTTCCTCGAGGCGCTTGGATTTATCTTTGATAAGCGGTGCGTAATGAAAGCAATTACTACTAAACATTTATTTGTTCCAGCTTGATTTTTATTGTAGCGTATAACTTCACCATAAGCGTTAATACCCCTTATTAATAGGATGATATCAGTACATCTAATTTATGACTTTTGCATGATAATAATCAATATCACTTTGAGTGATCACAACTAAACATATGAGCCTTCGAAAATGTCACAGGGAAGCCCTAATTAATATCTCGCAGTAGGATATGCAAACTTATAGTTATCCGAAGTGGCCACTTACAAGGTTTGCGTCTTTCTGTTCGATTATTTTAACTGCATATACTCTGTGTGTTCGACATTTCGATAAGTTAACAAACTAAACTGCGTTCGCCTTTTATGTCCTGTGATACGTTCTTTAGCTGGTTTGCTCCCCACTTCGAGGTCGTACGCTGCGTCATTTTCATTCTCATGCGACCCATATTTCTTGAGGTGTATTCTGTTGCTCACGCCACGCCTCTTAAAGTAAGCAATACGTATCCCGTTCATGAAGAATTTTCTATTATTGAGTTATTGCTTTTTAACGCTAACTGCCGAACTATGATTCGGCCCACAGGCGTCGAGTTAAACGATATTTCCAGCTTTACGTACGGTACCTGAACCGTTAGGTATCGCTTCAGATGGCGGGCTCCAGCCACCGCGAAATTATTTAGACTTAGATTGCCACGTGTTCCTACGTCTAGTAGGCAAGCATTCTAACATTAATAATAAACCTGACCATTAGGAAATGGAGTATAATCAAACAGAAATGTCGTGTCCAATATTTCGGCAACTGCATCGTGATTTTTGACATTACGACAACGACACCAGTTCGAAGGAAATTGAGGGCAGTAGATACAATTCACTTATATATTATTGATGTCAAATTCATTTTGAAAAATTAATAGATTTGCTCATTTTTATTGTAAAAGGCAATCAATCGCATATATTGAATTTGACGCAAGAATCGGCCAGGAGTTGCGCGTCACATTTACTATTACACTAACTGAGCGATACCCTGAACGCATTTCTACTTTCAGGAATCACTCATATCGATATCGTATGCACTTACCGCGGTATCTGGGATAGTCTGCGCTTTCGTTGCTATCTACTCGTATTACAGAAACCAAGGAGAGAAAGCAACGAGACAACATGAGGAGGTATCAAACGTCATCAAATTTGGCCGCGAGGTCACACAAGAAATGTCGAAGGAACAACGCAAACAAGATTAACAAACCAGTAACAATATGACACTTTTCAACGAAATGTTTGTATCGTTACATTTTTGATATTTAATTGGAAGAGCTACTTGACAAATGTTATTCTTGTTAAATTATAAATAATATAGAACTCCGAGTGCTGGCCGACAGCCAGCCGAGGCGGATCCACAACAGCATTACGTGTAAGAAGATAAAAAGAAAAAAAAATGACGTTGGCTATACTTATGTCTCCGTTCGATGATTGCTGTGCGTAGTATTTCCACACGTGTCCGCCTGTTTAAAACAAACATTTATTGCTTACTTAGATAAGCGAAAACGGTTATTAACACACCAGTGGGAATCAGAATGCTGTTTAGTAGTAAGTATTCGAACCAATTATTAGACCACTAGGTCAATGCAGATACGAAATTTAGGTTTATAGAAACTGTTGGTAAATGTTGTCTATGATATAAGATTAGTTTTTCTTCGGTTGGTAACAAGTTGTGATTTTAAACTGTGTTCCAGAATTGGTTTCGAATAGTTCGATCCGCGGACAACTTTCTGGGGTCGGGACAAACACTGTGTTCTGCCCTTTTTCGTACCATATTTTCAAAAAAAGGATAGTCCAGTAAAAAAAAAAGTCCTTGCAAAAACATTGCTCTCAAAAGCAACCGAGCATTTTATACCCTACTAGGTACGAGAAAACATGACATCGTTGAGGCACTAGATCCTCAAACTCCAACTTTTTCTTCAGATCTAACGTTTTCAGACTTGGATTTTCATGGCAAACAGTAAAAAGCTGGTTTTGAAACAAACTATATCACTATATATAGTCGATAGTTTTATTTTGCAAAGTGGAAGAGCGGACACATAGTGCGCACTTATTCTCTTTCTAAATTACAGTGATATTTGTTTATTTTAAAACTAATCGTTCGTTTCTCGTCTATACACAAAACGGCGCGTCTAAATTGAGAATTGTTTAAATGCTTTATTTCTAAGGCTATATCTAAACGACAGCAAATACTTGAACGGAATTTTTTCGTATGCGGTAGAAATGTGTTCATGATAGTCACGTTTATTCAATCGCAGTTTCAGCTTGAGTTCTAAGCTACAGACTAGTCGTTTCCAAAACACTCTTTCTGCAATAACAGTATGTCAAACGAAATCGTCAGATGTATGTTTAAGTACGCTGCACGCAAAAAGTCCCAATAAAATTAAATTTTGGGTGGACAACAGGCCAAAAGCCTTTGTAGAAATTTACAGAAAATTGTACTTTATGGAGTGACCCTGGTTTAATTTCAAAATTGAACGTCATGCATTATTTGCATGTTTATAAGTGCACTAGGGCATGATATACGGGTCTATTTATGTAGTATTTCAAATAGATCAACAAAAGTCATGTTTATTGTTAACCATCACACTGGCTGTGATTGACTGTGACTTCGAATCCTTGATCTACCCAGTAGATATTCTAAACGAATGCTTTATTAAGGGAATCAATTTTGAATCTTTCTGCTGATCTGACGTGACCGTTCCTTAATAAAAGCTTCCTAGTAAAATTTTGTAGGCTCGATCATCGTGCTTGCATTTGTAATTTGAAAGTATTACGGTAGACCAATACTGATGTGCGGATAATCGAGATTGATAACCACAATATTAATTAGCGGATAATAAAATTGATATGCAGAATAATAATTCACGAATAACTGAAACTAATTTAAACCGCCAAGGACCAGGACCAGAACCAATCTAAAAAATCTCATAGTTAAGTCCTCAGTGACCGCAGCGTAGTTAAGGCTACCTGCAAAGTCATGCATAGCTCCAATGTAAATGTTTCCTGCCATTTTATGTTTGGATTAATAAAAAAAAATTGATGTAGGTAGCATGACGCTTACAGTTATATAGCTCTCATTCCCCTAGTTTGAAGCAGATTAAGGTTTGCACACCTGTCGATCGTGCGCAGAAGGTATGCTGAACAATTAGGTTAGAAGGTCCGGTCGTTAAGGGCTCAAAGAAAAATCCGAACGATATGTTACGTGTTAGCAGCTCTAAGCAACGTTCGAATTGACCTAGTTCGCAGCCCATTTTATACTCGGAAATTTACGTAGCTGTTTTATGCTGTCTTCAGAATATAATGAATAAAAATCAATCGCACCCTCATAACGCTACCTCAACTTACGGTACATGAAAGAGGTAAAATAAACTGGTGCACTGAACACTCACATGGTGTCATAAATAATAAATCGCAAATAATTCTAATTTGTTTATTATAGAATTAAGTCGTATAATTAAAGATAAGAGCAGGCAACAATCGATGCTGAGTATCTATCAAGTGAAGTTTTAACCATTAAAGTAAAATATAATGAACTATTAAGCACCCATTGTATCGCTCAGAAAATTAGTTAAGAGTAATTCGGTAAGAGCAATTCAAAGAGAAAAAGAAAATACTACATACGATGACGATGTCTTAAATATATATCGCTCAGAGTACCAAAAAATAACATTAACAGTTAGAACTATAGAAGCAATATTTTTAGAGTAATTTCCTCAAAGCTTGCACGGTAAAGAGTACGACATCTGGTTAAGGTGAACTTGTAAGGAAGGAGAAACAAAACTGCATACAAAGTAATTAATCACTGTTCGGCCCTATCTCATTGATTTTTAAAAATGGAGAAATACGCATGACATTGTAACATTATCTCCAGACCAAATAGCACCGCTTTACGTGCATTTAGTTGACCTTATCGGATGAACCCCAAATACGGTTGATCATAATCAGCAAGCTTGCATTCGAGAGATTATTTCGGAACGGCAAATGGAACTTTTGCAAAGCGATAACTCTGAACTGCGACGATGTTTCTCTTTACTAAGACTATCGGTTTTGCTTGAATAGAACTTCATCCCGCTTTGTAACCCCATTATGTTATTATTATTTAGGCTTTATGAGCTACCCCTAAACTTTGCTATCTTTACCTAGTTGTAAACGCCAAAGAAAGGACGGCTCAAGCGCAAAAAAATATTCAGACTTATTGAAAATACGCCATGAATACGAAAACACCATCATGCGCGCTAATGTATTGGTACCTCCATATATACAGCAAATAATGGTTAGTAAAGCTCATTGACTATCCCTGCTTTTTGTTCTAACTTGTTTTCTGGGATTTAATGACAAGATTAAATAAAAAATAATAGTTTCAATAATTGTCTGCCAGATAACTCCTTCAGTTTAACTACTGCAGCATCGGAATCGCAATTTGGAATCAAGAACACTTTGTCTTGTATAATAAATACTCAATGTATATTTATTCAGATCACATTCACGACCATTTATGCTGTGGATACCACTAGCGTGCTGTGCACACCTAAAAGGTATTTACTCGGCTACTTCAGGCCATTCATTCATTGAGTTTCCTTTTCCACATAATTTTCAGCAGTTTTCGATAAGTCGCTTTGTCGCTAAAAATAACTGAAGAAAAACACTTCTACTCACTGCATCCATTGCACCCTATCCCACCTTTACAAATCATTGCCCTCGACCATTTTTAAGTTATCGCGCGAGGTCTTGGAGATGTCCGGACGATCGATACTGATGATTGGACATTTCAGTACTTCAACGACATTTAATAGTATATAGATGTCTTTAGACGACACGCCTCACCTCAAAAATTCGTTTCAAGTAGTAAACCTATAATACGGAAAAACAAGATTAACATCCAAGTCTGTTAGTTTTTTGCTAATATCTAGCAACCTCCTTTAGCCAGTTAGATCAATAGATTCATTATTATTATTATTATTATTATAGATATATAAAATAGAAACAATTTCAAGGAATGTGTCACTTCCACAAGTGACAATTGACAATGCGTAATCATAAGAATAGTTCCAATGGCGAATTTAGAAGTCTAACAGAGCACACTTACATGTGAACTCCAAATGGAAAAAGCTAAAATCCGTCACCACAGCTTGTTAAAACAAAGGCACTGGGAAAAGAAAAATAATAACTATTGCCATCTTCGTTTTTAGGGTGACCTAGTGATAATGTGTTTCCCGAAGGCCGTAATAGGACGCGCAGAGATCCGAGTTGAAATTCAAATAAGATTCGATTTCCGGAGATAATGCAGCAATTGCACGTTATCTATTGTTTTCCTAGATCTAATACGGATCTGCGGGCAGATAGGTTGAAGCTTATAGCTCCAATAATCTCTAATGCTTTGGATCTGAGCGGGGACATATGAAAGAACTATACTATCAATAATAGTTTGCAACAATAAACCCTTTACCTAGCTGCGTCACAGTACGTCGACTTAGAACCAACCTGTCCCAGTGTCATGGCGATGATGATGAGATTCTCAAAGAACGCCCAAATGACTACGCGCGAATTGGTTGACTCTGAGATTGACCGATGAATCCGGTCTCGGATCATCATGTACTCCTGCTCATGTTTGACACCTGTCATTGCCGTATGCAGCTCACTGATCATGTCCTCAAGTTTGTTTTCTCCTTGACCGTCTATTGACAGTAAACACAAAGATATTTACTCAATACTCATCCAAGTATTGATGGGTAGTGTGAGATGGGGGAATCAAATAACAGGTGAAATCTGTGTGTGAAACCATAGGAAACTACTAACGATCTGAATTTCACTAAGATATAAACTAAGAATCTGCAGCCATTGCCCGATTATCTCTATAAACTATCAGAATTGACAAAATCACACAGTTTTATTATCTTCGTACTTTTTCTAAACACGTTTTTAGCCACGACTAATATAAACGATATTGACAACGGCTTTCCATACCTTTACCATCAGCTTTTTTTGGCTCCTCGCCAATATCCATCGTAAACATGACGGTTTTCGGAGTCATAGTACTCATGGCATTACTAAAGCAATATTTGTACACGCCATCCATATATGCAGCGAACGTGTATTTGTTCGACGATTCGCGTTCACCGTTGTAGACAACCTTTTCATCTGGACCGGTTATCTGTAATCGACAAATGCATAAGGTTTTTAGCGTTGCAACAAAAGCTTTAATCGCCTCTAGCGTATTTAAAATACGTTGGACGCTCTATCGAACTTCAATAAACATTAGGCAACACTGCATACTTTCTTGTTAAAAACAGAATGCCGAAGTCAATGCTGATTTCTCTGAAGTCAAAAAGTCGCCTCGGAACAAATGGAAAAACGTTTGTTAGATTAGAAAACTGGCAAATAGCGAGAGTTTGCTTAATGACACAATGTAGCGGGCAAAATACTTATATGTTTCTGCAAAGTTTGGCGGACTTGGTTCATAGTATGAAAGCTACGATTAAAAACTGAGTTTAGACTGATTCAAACTATGCGTGTTCCTCAAGCTTAAAACATGAACGTTACCTTAATCGACGAAGCTAAACGTATTTTGGAAAAAAAAAAATACTCAAAATCAACCTTATCCTTTCAAAACTGCATCTTTACAAGACATAACCACACGTAATGCGCAACCACCCATAAAAGCCCATGTGAACCGGAACAATTATAAAATTGAAAAGGATAATATAGCCTGCTACCGTAGAAGTCAGACTAAGAAACATACGTTACTCATTGTTAGCTTTTTATCAGTTCGATTCATGGCAGCGATTCCGACAGCATTTCATAAAAGACTCGTATAAGGATATGGAAAAATAGTTCTATGTACAGCCGAATGGTAAAGATGTATTCAACGTGGGTTGCGACATTCCTAAGTTCTCCCATGCCGCTGAATGTTGCAAAAATCGAACCGGAAATCTATAAAAGGCAAGGTTATACTTAGTGGCAAAGATTGTGTACATAATAAATGTAATATTTGAAAATAGTCTCGGAGATACGTCGGACGATATCTGCGGCGCAGTCAAATATGCACGTCATGACGGCGTGAACGAAACCATATGCGTCCCCCACGTTTATTTTCTTGCGGACTACAAACCTTTACGTCGATGTCAAGAAACCCGCCCTCGGCAACTTCAAACGTCAAACCCATCTTCGTGCCTTTGACTACGCGATCGTGAAAGCACTCTTCAGAGTGCGCATCCACCACGATGAAGTATCCATCGACGACCACCGCATTAACTAGAAGACAGACAGCTGTCACTGCTTGTATAACAAACAAATTCATTTGCGTTGCTACTGATCAATTTCGTTCACGAATCGAATCCACTGATACGCTGCAGGTATTGCTTTTACCGTTACATGCGGTAGAAACTAGTTGCGAGGCTCACAAGTGTCGAGTGAGAGCCACTGAGGAGTGACTGTGCCGCCGCAACAGGCTTCTTTACAAAAAACTTGTTTTGCCACGTAGATACTACACACTGACTAAATAGAGCTAAGCTTGTCTACCCGCAGCCGTAGCAGAGAGGCACGAGCAACTCGTATATAAACTAGCATCAATAACAATAAACAAAGACTGTATTGAACCCTAGATACAGCCTGGCTGTTTAAGCCATGTCAACCACAACCACAACCACTTCTGCCTGCCTGAATGGACGCATTGAGGGGGAAACTTCTATCAAAAAGCGTTTGCGTAAAAACATGTATTTGCTGACGACGTAAATTGAATATGAGTTTAGCTCTGATATTCTCATAGCAAAAGATGAGGCTTTATTATGTTGTGAGACTACTGCATTTTCGAGTATGTAAATTTTTAGTTTAACTGAAATTAATAGAATTAGATAAAGCTCTTCTTAGGCAAATGTTCAGATTGCTTTTATATTATACATGTGACTGTTTTTTGGCAACACAAAGTTCCAAAGTAAAAACAGATCGTTCTATAGCATTTTTCGTAAGGGAGACCAGTCGACTCGTTTTCTTGCGATCTTCACAGTCTGATGCATTCCCGGTAACACAGATCTAAAACTGTCAGTGTATAGTTTTCGAACAGCCACGAACGGAGTACATCAAATGCGCTCAATGAATGTTAACCATCGAATGAAATGTAATTGATTTCATTGCGGTGAGTGAACATCACAAAGCTCCTTCACAAAAGCTATATAGTTTTTCCACACGAACAGTGTGGAAAGTGTTGTCTATTAGAAAAACAATAGGAATGTTATAGAAAATGACAGTAAGATACGACAGTCTTTATTGAGTATCTAATTATTAATATTCTAGTTAGAAGATATTAGAAAGAAATTCAGCAAAATATGTAGGAAATTCTTTCGAGTGTCAGCAGCAATACAAATAGCAGCATTAATTTTCGCAAAAAAAATACTTCTACAGGTTTCTTCAGGGACTTATTCAGTAATGCAGGCTATATTTTAAGTTCACAATGATCTTTTTACAGTTTTAGTCGTTTTTTTTTTTAGCAGTAGGAATTACACTGGCATAGGCTACGGCAGCTTTAATCCAATTAACCATACCGTAGCTGTTGTGTTCCTATAACAATTAAACATCGAAACCCGCGGAACGCACTTCGTATGTTATGGAAAGCACGTATATACGACCCGTCGTAGATACAGATTGCTCAAAACTGTTTGTTGTTTTCGTATCTGTGAAGCTTATGTGAATCAGCACTTATAAAGAACCGTGCAGAAAATATAAAATTCTTACCTTGACAGATCAAGAAAAATGGCTTCCGACCAAGAATGGGTGAATGAGCAGCTGTTCGAGGTCCTCGGAATGAGCGACCGTCTTATTGGACAATTTATTCTGTCCCTCGCAAAGAAAAGCACAGACTCGGAAATGCTACTGGACAAGATTCGCTCCACCGGGGCTGTCGAGGTCGACTCAATGAGGGTAAATTACCTATAGTTTTTTATTTTATTTTTTAGTCCAGTTCTACCTAATGAGCACTCTTTGTTGATCCATTAGGTTTTAATGTCCCGCGATGTCAGTAATCTTCGTCAAGCGACATTAAGAATCAGACACGTTTGAATTTCCTTTCGCTAAACGCTTGTTTCATTCTAAACTGCACTATTGCTCGAAACGGAACGAGAAGAACATTAGACAAACGAAAATGGTGATCGAAATTTAGCTAGCGAAAACATAAATATTTATTTTCTGATTTTTAGATGCGAAAATTCGCAAGCGATTTAATGGCACGTCTCCCAAGTAAATCGACAGCACCATCTGCTGCGAGGCTTCACGAGGCGGCCATGAAAGAGGTATTGACCACATGTCACATTTCTCATGTAGAAGACTCACTAAATGCTGCCACTCTTGAGCCATCACTTTTTTGAGCATTTGATTCAATCTACAGTATATGATTTTACCAACGTACTTTTTCTTTTTGCTTTAAATATCTTCATGAAGCTATTATTTCACTTGTACGTACGGTTTATACTTGACAACATCTGACTTCTACGCCCCTATAACAAGCGTTAACCATAATTTCATTCAATCAATGGACTAGCATTTCAGCAGCAGGCGATCGCCTCATATTATTATCTAACTAAAAATCCATTAATAATCTGTTTTAATACTTCTTTTTTTAATAGCAACTTTTTTTGATCTAGTCGTTAATTTTTGCTTTTTGTAGTTTGAGTCTTTTTCACACATTGGTATACTCCTATTGAAATTATAAATGGTGGCCCGGTTAGACACAATGGAATATTTTCGTTTAACGTATTACGATTCGCTCATACACTGATTTATGTTTTAGGTGTATCAACGCAACCGGCAATACAAATTGGTCGAGAGCAGTGACGAAGATGAAAACGAAGCCATTAAAGTCGTTCCCAGAGTTTCGAACAAAGATAGGCAGAAATCAAATAAGAAAAAAGCTAAAAAGGACAAAAGGAAACAAAAGACCTCCTCATCCGAAGAACAGGATTATGATGACAAGGTACGCTAGATGATTTAACAAACACTTGTGGAAGGAAAACAAACGTTAGAGCAATTTTTTGGAAAAACGTTGCGTTTCAGATGACAAATTATCCTCCCCTAAATTCATGCGACTAAAACTAATTGCAGCTGAACGTAGTAATGAATATGCCCGTTTTGTTATTGTATCTTAGGAGCGGCTCCGAGATATTGAAGACCGGGACGCGTTTGCTAGACGACTTCAAGAAAAGGATAAAGCAAAAACTCGAAATATGGCGTCGTCGAGTGAGCAACGCGCATACGAAAAAGCCGCTAAAAGACTTAAACTAGAACAGGCAAGTCAGATTTCATATGCTATTATTTCAAATGATCCCGACATCGAACGCATTTTGTACTAGTGTTCATTAAAAAGAAGAGTCAGCTCAATGCGTTCGTGTACCATAGGTCAATGATGATTTTTACTTTCATGAGTGAGTGAAAAAAGAAGGCACACTATGATAACAAGCGGGAGGAAATTCGATTAAGCAATCCAGTGTCATTTGCAACTTACAGGAGGATCGGTCTTCGATAATCCCTAAACTTCGTCAAGAATCTCGGCGCGCTTACCTTATGAAGAGGAAGGAAGACAAATTGATCGAGCTGGAACAGGACATTCAGGACGATGAGTATCTCTTTGGCGACCAGGAGCTTACTAACCGTGAGAAACGAGAGCTAGAAAAGAAGAAACAACTTCTCGAAATTGCAAAGGCACACGAGAAGGCAAAGGATCTTGAACGGGTGTCCAGGTAGAATGTTTACAAGGGAACATGTTTTTGACCTAAAGTTATGTTTTGCTTGAATCTTTTTTGCACGGAGCAAATACCCTCCAACACCAAATCACAATACGTTGTCCATCTATGCCAAAGTAAACACAAAATTTGCGTTGTGCGTAAGTGCACGGGTATCGTATACTCAAAAGAATTAGTTTACTGCAGCGGACAATTGTCGGGCGATCAAATTTGGGTCATCTGTCAACTTCGCATTATGTGTCACCGTAGCTACTAGAACAGAGTCGGTTATTACGAATGGTGTTTTGGATGACGCTAGGAAATAGATAAGTGTTTCGATACGTAAGTGTTGTACACTATGGTTATGTAGCGATTTGCTTTTTCGCGGCCGGTTGCAGGTACGTGATGCCGGACGAACATAAGATGGACACCTACGTTGAGGTGGACGCTAAAGAGAAGGCACCGAACTCAGAACAGATGAAATGGGAAGAGGAGAAACTAGCTCAGGCGACGTTACGATACGGCGCCAAGACCAAGCAGAAGCGGAAAGATGAAAAGAAGTATGAGCTAGTCATTGAGGACGCCATTGAGTTTACAAAGGCTTTCACGGAAACTGGCGAGTCAAAGGAAAACAAGGATGATGAAAAGCCTCAGATGTCTGAACGTGAAAAGAAGAGGCTAACTATTGAGGAGACACGAAAATCTCTTCCGATATACCCGTTCCGAGACGAGCTCCTTAGGGCTATAGAAGACCACCAGGTATTAATTGTGGAAGGTGAAACCGGCTCAGGAAAAACAACACAAATTCCGCAATACCTTTATGAGGCTGGCTACACCCGCAATAAATTGAAAATAGGCTGTACACAACCGAGGCGAGTTGCCGCAATGAGTGTTGCTGCGAGAGTCGCAGAAGAGATGGGCGTAAAACTTGGAAATGAAGTTGGCTACTCGATTCGATTTGAGGACTGCACCTCGGAGCGAACTGTTGTTAAGTACATGACTGACGGTATGTTATTACGAGAGTTCCTTGGAGAGCCCGACCTCGAGGGGTACGCGTGCCTTATTATTGATGAGGCTCATGAACGGACATTACATACCGACATCTTATTCGGCCTAGTTAAAGACATCGCTCGTTTTCGGTCCGATCTTAAGTTGATTATATCTTCAGCAACACTGGATGCTGCGAAGTTCTCAGAATTTTTCGACGACGCACCGATATTTAAAATTCCCGGTCGCCGCTTCCCTGTCGATATTTATTACACGAAGGCGCCAGAAGCAGATTATATTGACGCGGCAGTTGTAACTGTTTTGCAGATACATATTACTCAGCCTCTGGGTGATATTCTCGTATTTCTTACTGGTCAAGAAGAGATCGAAGCGTGCCAAGAACTTCTAACAGAACGAACACGCAAACTAGGCTCGAAGATCAAGGAGCTTGTGATACTGCCAATTTACGCCAATCTGCCTTCCGACATGCAGGCAAAAATCTTCGAGCCCACACCTCCTGGTGGTCGCAAGGTCATCCTTGCCACGAATATTGCAGAAACCTCGCTTACCATTGACGGCATCATTTATGTTATCGACCCCGGCTTCTGTAAAGAAAACAGCTACAACGCTCGAACTGGTATGGACTCACTTATCGTTACCCCGATCTCGCAAGCGTCCGCTAAACAACGCTCGGGACGAGCCGGTCGAGTGGCCGCTGGCAAATGTTTTCGATTGTATACAGCATGGGCATATGAACATGAACTGGAGGAAAATACGGTGCCAGAAATACAGCGGGTCAATTTGGGCAACGTGGTCCTAATGCTAAAGTCGCTTGGCATTCACGACCTTCTCAATTTCGATTTTCTTGATCCTCCACCGCATCAATCATTGATAATTGCCCTCGAACAGTTATACGCACTTGGGGCACTGAATCACCTTGGGGAGCTGACGAAACTAGGGCGTCGCATGGCCGAATTTCCCGTCGATCCAATGATGGCAAAAATGATTCTAGCCAGCGAGAAATACCGGTGCTCGGATGAAATCCTTTCAGTATCGGCGATGCTGTCCGTTAACTCGGCGATATTTTATCGGCCGAAGGATAAGGCATTACATGCGGACAATGCACGAAAAAATTTTCATGATCCTGCTGGGGACCATTTGACCTTGCTAGCTGTGTACAACCAATGGGTACAATCCGGCTTTTCAAAACAATGGTAATTGAACGTTCTTTCTTTGCGTCTATCTCCAAAAAGATCCAATGTAATTGAGATTCTCGATAATTACTTTTAGTTTAATTTTGCTTCAGAGTTATCAGTGCCATGCTGCTACGGCGTATAGCTGTGGATTGAGTTATCTACAGAAGTCTATACGTGTGTTTATATTTGCAGGTGCTATGAAAATTATATTCAGTATCGGTCCATGAGGAGAGCACAAGATGTTAGGGGTCAATTGGAAGGACTTATAGAGAGGTAAAATGAATCATTAACAAACGTGCGCGTGATGCATTCGGCACTTAACCACTAATTGACCTAGGTTGAAAATGTACATTACTGCTTCACTAATACCTTAAGTTTAAAGCTTTTTGGAAATAAATATAATGCTATAATATATTGTATCAGCATTGACGTATAACCCTGATTAAATCCGATAATGAAGAAAACAGCATCAGAAGAAAGAAGCAATGCTTCCATTGTGTTACGTGTACATCAAACATTAGCATATATATGCCTCAATGCTTACTTAACGAATCAATATTTCGACTATTGCAGAGTGGAGATTCCATTGCTAAGCTGCGAAGGAGATTCGGTCGCTGTTCGTAAAGCTATAACCGCCGGCTACTTTTATCATGCCGTCACTCTGTCGAAGAACGGCCATTACAAAATGGTAAAACACAACCAGACAGTTATGATGCATCCGAACTCAGCCTTGTTCGAAGACTTGCCGAAATGGCTGATTTACCACGAGGTTGTGTTTACCACTAAAGAATATATGCGACAGGTAAGCGAGCCAGATCTAAAATGAAAGCTTTTCCTGTCATCCTATAGCAGACATCCAGTCTAATCCGATGAGTAAAGGTCTTTTTCGATAGCTGAAATAAGGTTGTATAGTTAAATATTTTGGACTGTTAACTTGGCTTGTAGGTAATTCAGATCGATAACAAGTGGATTTTCGAAGTGGCACCGCACTATTACAAGGAGCAGGACCTTGAAGAGCGAAAGATGCCAAAGAAGAATTGAGATATATTCGCTTGCTGATGTAAATATTTTTCGTAGAGTACTCCAGTGCAGCTGGGACAGTATTCTTTTGCAACTGATACAAAACATGTACATAATGTAAGTAAATGTAATTTGATTTAAATGTTGTAAATATAAAAAGAAAGTAGTTGCTGTACTCGGACCTTAGGGTTCTTACTGTTGTATGCTGTATTTACTGACTTAGTAGTGTTTTCTGTAACTTTCTGCCTTTATACAGAGTACGATCGTCGACGTATACGATAAGAATACTATCATTACATGCGTATAAGCTAGACATATTTGCATAATCTACGATCATTACAGAGGGCTTCTGTCCTTCTTAGCTGTTTCGCGCGCGCTATGGATTCTACGGAAGAAGGTGACGAATTTCGTAACATGTGCACTTGGGCAAAAAATTTCAAAGCTGTTGTTGCGAAAGAACTACAGGGGCGGTATAGCAAGCATGCCCATAAGGTTTCTGCTCATTGTGGTCAAGTCTGATGTATAAATGAAAAAAAAACATGCATCTTTTTAGAGAATAGCGGCTATCAAGGTATTTCGGTCCTCAACGACCTGATCATTGTTCCAGCAGAGGATTCTATGGGGTGGTCAAATGGGGCGTTTGCGGATAAGTAGTTTCATATTAGAGTGCTGTGAAACGCAAAAGATTTTTTAATCACACAATAAATTACAGAAAATGAGAACATACTACAGAATTTGCCAGTTGCCGAACGCGCAGGCGCCATTTTCAAAAATCGTGAAATGACGACAATATCCTCACAGAGACAATGTTCGTATTTCTAGAAAAGGATCTCCTCTTCTATCAGAAAGCGATTCATCGCGATTAGATTAAAAATCTACGATACTGTAAATAGGCGAAGTCAACAAGCATCATAAGCAGCAAACACGTTGTAGAAATAAACATAAGTTGACAAATTGTCTTTGAAAAATATATTCTGAAAGCTTAGTGACAAATAATAAACCTACAATTGAGTAAATAAAAGCCTTCGTTTAAAAAGTGGCGTTATACTGAGCTTTAATGTATTAATAATCATAATAAGTGCGTCATAAACAAGTCACAGTCCAAACCAGCGTGTAGTTTGACATGATAGCACCATTACGACCAACTAAATATTTCCTTTAATTGTTTTCTATGTACAGATAAACATCGCATCTTAAATTTATAAGCGTTTTTTATTTGATATGCGTAATAATTACTATAAGTGATAATGAATACTATTTATTGAATAATTTAATTAAGACGCAATATAATTAATAACACTGATTAAATAAGGCATTGAAATAACATATGGCTGATTGGAATAAGGCTAGTAGACTAACTGAAACACATCCTGACACCAGTTTAAAAATCAAAATTAGCAAATTTTCCTGTTCTACGTTGTTTTAAAAAGCGTCACCAGAGTTTGGAAAAAACGTGCTCACTCAGTACAACGCGGTGTACTATCACGCCACAATTCGTAACGTCCGACTTAGGCCAGTCTAGGGGCCAGTTACTTCCATGATATATAAAACTTGATTGTCACATATATTGTGTAATATACGACTATGACGGAGCCTGAACTATTCCTTGGCTCTTTTAGCCAGAAGGCTACCCCCCTAAGGTGCCGCGCTGACCGACATAAAATAATCCAGTGCAATAATACAAAAAATCCGTGTTCAGGGATCTCCTTTCGCCTACGCTTTTTCATAGAGATTATATATTACGTATCACAGATATTATAACATATATATAGTTTTGTTGTTTATATATATATATATATATATATATATATATATTGTTTGCTTACATAAAAGGGAAACGAGTGATAAGGGAAAAAGTAGTCCAACTACCCTGACATCGAAAGCATATCTAATATACGTATTCTGCTTAATTTCGCTCTAGCATCATTATTCACAGATATCATGAAGAGCTACCATTTTTAGAAAACTCACGGTATGATCAACAAGCAATAAATTACTTCACGCTAAAAGTTCCACATCTTCTCCATCCAGGCGTATGTTTATATTACTATTATATTAAGACACGTCTGCTTGTTGACCCTCATTACACAAAACTAATGAAAGTAAACGTCCTCTACTGTATATCTTCAAAGTCTAAATAGTCCCAGTATTTGGGCATTTAACTAAGAAATTTGTAAAGAAAGATGTATGCTGGCTAGAAGTAACTACAGTGTTAACTCACAGTTATTTAGTAATAGTACTGGCGCGCCACCACTCCACAAGGAAGTTTTACTCAGTTCTTGTCCTCTAAACTTACTTCGATTATAGATTGTTTGGGATCCACGAACCGATGTTTGAGGGCTATTTTTTGCAGAACGGGAGACTATATTTTGTCTTTTTAAACTTCTTCCAATAAGTATTCATTTCATTTTTTTTAACTGGAAAAAGTCACCGTTATGCTAAATTCTGTTAGCCCCAAATAATATTTCTATTTTCATTTTTTATTTATTAAACGCTAGTTTAGACTGCTGGCTTATTTCAAAATAAAAAAAAAGTTCGTCTAAGCCTTGTTTCAAACCTAGATTACTCCACGTGTCTCAAAATCGCCCACTGATCAACGTAGCCAAAATGGGCATCTAGAGGTGACAGCGGTCAGTTGATTTCGAAAGCACCCAGGACTTTTCTTGTCAGTCCATAGTATTATTCGATAAGCTTACAGAGCTGGTTAAGCTTAATGGAGGGCTGCGTTAGTCAGCATTAGTCTCGTCTGAGCCAAGTTTACCAATTGGGGAGAGTTCTACGCGACATAAGATGTCCATGTATCATCCGATCCCAGCTGTATGCGTAAACGCACTAATTCTGCTTCTAAAAAAAGGTTTAGTTGGCACAATCATGGAGCCGATGAGTCTGATGCCCAGCGTTGTCAGATCGATTAGCCAATCGCTGAGTCGCCCTTACACAGCGAATTCTCTGAGTAATGCATTCATTCGCGTGTGGCGGCTTTTAATGACCTCTTAGTGAGGGTGCTCTTAAGTGGAGTTCTGCTATCGATCCTTGTCTAATTCACTCAGTGTTCGACAGCTAACTAAACAGTGTGGTTGGTGCACGGTATGCGCAAGAACAGCAATTCGTCATTTATTTATCTATAAATAAAATAAAGTGCGTTTGGGGAAGTGGCTGCGTGTGTGTATCAGTGTTTGCCTGTGTACTGGACCCGTACGCATCGGTCGGTCGATGAATTGATTGAAGTGTGCTGCTTTCTTGGGTGCAAAAATTTTCGTCGGGAGAACGTCGAAAGCATAATCAGTTCATGCTGTATGAACTCATTAGTGTACATAATAATATTATACTGATGAAGTATGATCTAGTAATGCTATTCTAATTCTGAACAAATATAACATTTGCGGTATTGGCCGAAACCATGGCGCAGGAAAAAATTGTCGAGATAAAATTAACTTCCAATTCCTGTATATCGTACGAGTATGCAGCCTATTTTAACAAGCTTCATTACTGGCAGATAGAACCAACTATTGGAAAATCCCAAGCTACGCGACACTTTCTTAGTTGCTATTAGTCGTTATTTGTTTTCTTATTTAGGATTGGTTGAAACCTTTTCACGCGCATTACAATCCATGTATACGCTTTTTTAACGAGAAGCTATACCAACATGTGCGAAATTTGCGAAGCTTTTTGTGGACTGTTTGTGTATAGTTTGTTTATTGAACTCTACTCTAATTTTAATCTGATTTAATTGATCGAGTATTTGTGGTTGGATAGGTACTTGACACTGTAATGGTCATGAAGCGCTCCGAGGCCGCTCCGTCCACCCCAGATACCCATTCTTGAGTACTATTTAGGTTCCGTGTTTGGCTACACATTAATTTGTTAGACTGTCAATGAATGAATTGCATTTTCCCTTAAAGCAACAGTGTGCTGCGCGTAGTATATGCTTGGGCCGACAAGTTCTACAACATCGAATCAACAAAACGTTATTTTTTGAAGTTTCAGGTAGGATCCTTTTATATGTTTAACTATAAATGATTTAAATTATAACAAAGAAATGTTCCTTAACGATTAATATGCAGTCGCCGTCTCCTTGAACGCGTGCCAGCTGAACAAATAACCGAAAGAATTAACAAAAAGTCGACCAAAAGCAGCAATAGCTTATTGAAGGTTGAGGAAACATGAGTGCGCCGATGAACGACAACTCGTGGAAAACTCCAGCTTTTCGGCAAAATGTTCGTTCAAAAATGTGAGTACTTTTTCCATGCTTCTATTATTATTCGACCAGCTATTACTAACGGTAAAAGTCCTTCCTAGCTTAAGTGAACAGCGCGTCTGCTATAAAGTAGAACAGTTTTCGTTTTTTTTTTAGTATGAAAGATGCGAAATCATAAATTCGTACCCAAAATTATCGCGCTTCATTGCTAAGTGATTTCTCGTATAAAGCTCGACATTTGCGATGGATCTCAAGTATTCGTATTAGGACACGTTTTAGGCGCTCTTATCTAGGTACAACAAAGAACAACTTTACTTATTTCTGCAATTGATTAGGAGTCTTTTGTGGTACGATCATTCACCACTTTAAAAAATAGATGTATCGAATTTTATATCGGGTATTGCTCTGGAATATGCTTTAGAGGGCTAGCGTTCAACACGGAATGAGGCGTTTATTCATACAGTTAAGGGCCTGGACACTTCATCGTGACCCTATAATAATAATCGCGGGGACTTGATTTCTTCGAAGAATTCTGTTGTTCTCGTATGTGTGCTGATTGTTGTTTTTACTGTTGCAGCGAGGAGGCCATTAGGAACTCACCTAATCAACAGTACAAGAATGCCGCTGAAATGGAGAATCATGTCTTCAACAGATCTGCAACAAAGGTTAGACAGAATGCGCCTGAACGAAGAAAATCGCTAGTAAAATAGTTTTAACGTCTCTATACATTTTTTCTGCTGCTTTGCAAGTCAAAAATCTATCCCGAACGACTCACATCGGAGCATCATTGTCAAGATATTTTTTTTAGAAATACTATAATGTGTTTATATCCTACTGCAATCCTTATTAGTACACTAGTAGCCTTTCATTAACGCGTGTGCGCTTACTTACTAGTTCACAACGAATATATCATACCTAGCTGGAAGATGTCACGTTCTATATTTTATATTGATCATTACATCCGTTATAACAAAAATAAGCTGAACGTAGATTATGGCAAGCAACAGTAGCTCCACTTTTTTCGGATAACATATCCACAACCGTTTTGCTAATCATATATAAAGTGAGGGCATAGGAAGACAAATACAGGTATCAAATAGCTTGTTCATTCTAGACACATCTGTCTCGCTAAATAAACGATATCTGTTTGTTGAATATTCAAAACATCAAAATTAGATTTTAAACATAACTGCTTGCGGTAATGTTTCAAATATTATGGCACTCAGAGGACCGCCTCGGGATTTTTTGCAAGCTATTGGAATTATATCTTGCTTAGGTTAAACTCGACCGGTGTCGTCCACCGCAAATCTTGTAATATGTCTGTTTAACGAAAGCAATCCATAGTTGAGTAACAAATGCCCGCTAACGCCTCCTATTCGAAGTCCACATTGTGCGGTTACTACAGCTACGTAAGGCACTTGTTTGTAAGTGCCATGAGGGTCTTCGTACGCCTATTCTTCCTGTATGTTCATTGTACAATACGTGTGCGTCTCGCTCTTTTTATCTCTCCAGGACCAGTATCTTTCGTTGGTTGCCCGACTTATCATTCACGTCAGTAAGTAGTTTTGAGCTACCACGTATTTAATCACATTTAGTATGTCATAGTGCACCACATTTTCAATCTGACAAGCCATAAATAATAAAAATGATTAATTATATCGTATTGAATGTACTAAATATGTAAATTCTGTGTGTGTGTGTGTGTGTGTGTGTGTGTGTGTGTGTGTGTGTGTGTGTGTGTGTGTGTGTGTGTGTGTGTGTGTGTGTGTGTGTGTGTGTGTGTGTGTGTGTGTGTGTGTGTGTGTGTGTGTGTGTGTGTGTGTGTGTGTGTGTGTGTGTGTGTGTGTGTGTGTGTGTGTGTGTGTGTGTGTGTGTGTGTGTGTGTGTGTGTGTGTGTGTGTGTGTGTGTGTGTGTGTGTGTGTGTGTGTGTGTGTGTGTGTGTGTGTGTGTGTGTGTGTGTGTGTGTGTGTGTGTGTGTGTGTGTGTGTGTGTGTGTGTGTGTGTGTGTGTGTGTGTGTGTGTGTGTGTGTGTGTGTGTGTGTGTGTGTGTGTGTGTGTGTGTGTGTGTGTGTGTGTGTGTGTGTGTGTGTGTGTGTGTGTGTGTGTGTGTGTGTGTGTGTGTGTGTGTGTGTGTGTGTGTGTGTGTGTGTGTGTGTGTGTGTGTGTGTGTGTGTGTGTGTGTGTGTGTGTGTGTGTGTGTGTGTGTGTGTGTGTGTGTGTGTGTGTGTGTGTGTGTGTGTGTGTGTGTGTGTGTGTGTGTGTGTGTGTGTGTGTGTGTGTGTGTGTGTGTGTGTGTGTGTGTGTGTGTGTGTGTGTGTGTGTGTGTGTGTGTGTGTGTGTGTGTGTGTGTGTGTGTGTGTGTGTGTGTGTGTGTGTGTGTGTGTGTGTGTGTGTGTGTGTGTGTGTGTGTGTGTGTGTGTGTGTGTGTGTGTGTGTGTGTGTGTGTGTGTGTGTGTGTGTGTGTGTGTGTGTGTGTGTGTGTGTGTGTGTGTGTGTGTGTGTGTGTGTGTGTGTGTGTGTGTGTGTGTGTGTGTGTGTGTGTGTGTGTGTGTGTGTGTGTGTGTGTGTGTGTGTGTGTGTGTGTGTGTGTGTGTGTGGTGTGTGTGTGTGTGTGTGTGTGTGTGTGTGTGTGTGTGTGTGTGTGTGTGTGTGTGTGTGTGTGTGTGGATTCGCATCGCAGATCCAAAAAAGAACCCAGGCACAGCTGGCGGTGGACAGGTACCCGGCCCCGGCGGACCCGGTGGCGTTGGTCATGCCGGGCCTCCAAGTGGACCTGACCCTATGATGGCTCTTCGTACTATGACCAGTCAACAACAGCAACAACAAGGCCCTCCCCAGATGGGTATGCCAATAGGTGGTGCGACTATGGGAAGTCCAGCAGATATGATGGCGCAGCAGAATAATCCGCAGCAGCCGAACGGCGCTGGAGGACTCAATCCAATGGCTATGCAGTCGGCTAGGCCAATGATAATGAACCAGGGTGGTCCAATGAATCCAATGATGATGGGCCAGCCCATGGGCGGGGTCGTGAGGGCACCTCAACCCACCGTTGGAGTCGGTCCTTCCGGTCAGGGTATGATGGTTATGGGAGGACCCCCACAAAACAAGATGCGGCCGCAGATAACCCCACAGCAGCCTCAAAACACAATGGTGAGAAGTATGATAAAAACTGCAATAAGAGTAAGGTTTTGATTTGATTTTGCACGTTTCATATTAGACGGATGTTGTATTGGACAGAGAAGTATGTTTGTGAATTGGTGTGATTAATTATATACTCGCATATCCATTATGTAAGGAATATAAGGAATATGTAAGGAAGGTATATAAGCGCCTTCAACCAGGCGCTTATGACAGGGTTTCTTTTAGAAACTTGTTAACAGGAAATAAATTCTTGCGATTCTTCAGGTCCCGAACCAAGGCGCAGTACAGTCTCCGATGGGTGCATCAATGGCTAAGTAACTAATCATTTTATAAAAAAAAAATACATGACCTATTATGTAAAACTATATTCTAACTGTATTTTTCAATATTTTGGCTTTAAATTTACGGAAGCAAATATTGGGCGCGGCAGTAGCCACCGACCGTTATTGTTGTCTTTGCTCATGTTTTGCGTCGATTTGGCCTACTTGGTCCATCAACGTCTTGAAGATCTCCGTCTCGCTAATACTACCAGATATAATTTTTTTCACTTGCACGTCAAATCAGCAATCGTCCACGTATGCGTTAGTGCTATTTCCCATAAAATATCTCTATTTTTTTTCCATTCTTTCTTAACAACATTGTTTTGAATCGCAGCTGACATTTCTTGAACAGTTAACTCTGTGTATTTGCTTGCATTTTGTTGATTCTGTGTATTGAGTCCACGTTATCTAAGTGTATTCCTGCCTACGTCTTCGGCAGTAGCCGACCATTTTACGCTAAAATAGCAGCTATCAAAAGCTACAACAATGTTTAGACATCTAAGCAACAAACAAAACCGCAAAGCCACTTAATAACACTTTCACACTTGACTGTCGTTGGTTTATCACACTGTTGTTTTCAACGCACTTGCTGTAGCCAAATGACACCGTCCCCCGCAGGGTACGCACATTCACCATCACCTGTAAGCGTCAGTGCTCAGGGGGGTTACCTTCGAGGAGGGCAAATGGGCGCCCCTTCCCCAGGGTCCGCTCTCAATACCCCTATCGGATCAGTTGCATCTCCTGCCGCGCAACATTCCCAGCAGCAACAACAACAGCAGCAGCAGCAGCAGCAGCAACAACAACAGCAACAACAGCAACAACAACAGCAACAACAGCATGGTGGTGGTCATGCCGTGGTGGGACCGGGAACAGCCGCTGCCCGCAGCTCTGCCGAGGAACAGGTCTATCTTGACAAGCTAAAACAGCTAAGCAAATACATTGAACCGCTTCGCCGGATGATTGCACGTATAGACAAGGATGAAGATCGGCAGAAGGATTTGAGCAAAATGAACACCTTGCTCGAAATTTTATCGGACAGTAATCGGCGCTGTCCAATGGAAGTGCTGGTGAAGTGCGAGGGCGTCCTCGAGAAACTCGACCTCGGCCTACCCGTGCCACGAGACCATATTGGTCACGTGCCATCGGTGAAGTCGATGGCCCGATTACAAAACGACAACCTATGGCAGCCACTGTTAGATGCTATCAACGCGAACATCAAAAGTCCAATGTTCAACCACACGCTTCAACGAGTATTTGGTCAGCCAATAACAATGTTGACTGGCGCGGCGTATTTAAGTTCTCCACCATCTCCACCTTCGTCGCCACCTGTTAAGCGCCGTCGTCCTGCGGCGGGATCTGAAGATGCAGCAGAAATTCCCGATGTCCTTCAGGGCGAAATTGCCCATCTTGACCAGCGGTTCAAAGTACAGCTAGATCCAGTTCAGCATAGTGGATGTCGGACTGTCAATCTTATCTGCCAACTCGGTAAGTGCGACCTGACGTGGGCTGATACCTAGCTGAAATACGCAGTTTGCTGCTTTTGTAAGTAATACTGCTCACTGGAGGCTCCTAGTACGATTGTTTTTCGCAACGCAAAGACCTCTCCATGTTACAAATTGATTCCACTTTCTGTCTAGACATGTAGGATATTGCAGCATAGTTTTATGTATCATAGAATATATATATGGTAATCATATCATGGTATTTATCATAGAATATTTCGCCCATATAATTTGGGCTTGCCTTCTTAGTAGCAACAATGTTTTTGCTTGGAAGGGTTAGCATTGTCATTCATAACTGAAGTTCCGCTTGTCATTTAATTAAGGTTCGAATGTTATCACTACAGCCTATTTGCTACGTTATAAGCTAAAAAATTATTCACTCCCGTCTTCTTTTTCTATTTTCCCATTATGAATTTTCTTCTGGACAGACGACAAGACACTTCCATGTGTACCACCCATCTCTGTGACAGTCCCGGAAAACTACCCGGAACATCCACCTCGCTGTAACGCTAATAGGGCCCAGTATGCGAGTACAGAGTTCCTGTCAGATGTGCTTGATTCCCTTACCGTTCACCTGGGAAAGATGCCCTCGCAATATTCCATCACATCGTTACTCGATACCTGGGAGATGTGTGTTCGGCAAACCTGCAGTACCACCAGCGATAGAAATGGTACTAGCGCGAGACCCGTGGGTAAGGGATCGCAACAGAAGGCAATTACTTGTTGAAGCCGAATCACAAAATTTGTTTGGTTAGACACATAAAAGGAAATATTCACTTGTGTTACCGACGATCATTGTTAACGATGGCTTTACCAGTATCCGACAAGTAAAGTTTAACAGTTTTCATAACCGTGTTTCCTTAGTTTCTTTTAGTACCTCAAACAAAGAAGCTCTCTTACGATATCAGTGCTGGAGCTTCGAATGCCCTCGATGGGTATATTTAGTAGACTTTTCAAGTCAAAGAATAAACTTGATACAAATTGGGCATTCACTGTACGTTTGAGAAGTATGAAAACGCTTTGGTTTTAGAATTACGCTGGTGAAGAGACACCCAATCAATCTGAGAAGGTAGGTTGTAAACTATGATAGATAGTATCGTCTGGCCAGATAATTCGAAAAAAAAAGTTTGTGTTTAACGCAAAATGATCTTTACGTGAAATACATGCAAATATTAGGTACACTATAGGTTCAGAATAGTTAAAATTGAAGACAAAAAAAGTTGAGCACGTAAGAAGTCTGTTCAGTTGAAGTGAAGCTTTAACGAACTTTCTGAATCGAACCTTCTACCAAGATTATGTCTAAATGTTCATTCTGTCATTGGGCAACGCAGTATGTCATGTACATTGCTAGGATTAAGGCATCGTCATTTGTGGAATCTCTCCTGTTGTGAAAGGTGAATAATCCTATTTTTGAAGATCTGTTCTATCCGCCCAGTATCCAGATATACCCGACATGTCGAGCCTGTGCCGAAAAAGAAATTCTATTCGTTGCTTTGAAGGCATACTGTTACCGATATGAGCATGATTTTCGTTGTAGTGTAATAAGAATACCGCTGCGAACTGGTTTTGATAACAATAAGATGTTCTCGCCATTAAACCAAGCAGAAATTGTACGAATTGTACACATGTATTGAATGTATATATAGTAACTTCATATTCACAAACAGAGTAAATATTGTCTCTAATAAACAATTTATGAACTAACATGTTAGCTGAAGAACTACTCATCCAAGTCACCATCCAGTTAAGTATGCTAGGTGACACCGCTGAAAATACATGGTATGCCGTAGTGAATACTGCTACTCTGGATATTATAATATATATATGATGGTTAGACACTATAGTCAAATATCCACAGACCTTAATTGAAATAAATTGAATAAAAAGAAATCGTGTTGACTGTTGGTTTATTTGAGTTTTTTTCCTTTTACTGTAGTAAATGTCTGAACTTTCCAAGAGCAGATGCATTTAAATGAATGCTTTGAGCTATACACCCAGGACTGCTATTAGGCATTGCCTCAAGTGGCTGGCTGAAACGAAGCTTCATCCGGGTCTTAACGTAGACCGCCTCGCGTCTTCCCAACGTCAGTAAACAGGTACGCTAGCGCTACACCATCATGAAGATAGAAAAACTATCTGAAGAACTCCCGATTTGTTCACCGTTTGGTTTATTAGATAGTGGGTTTGACACCCATATCCATCGTAAGCATTCCTTCACTATAAGAGTACCATTATATTGTCTTGTTCAAATAACTATAGCATTACCTAGAGTTCAGGCTTTATAGTGGATGCACCAATTTTCGATCACTTTAACATTTAGCAAAATAAAAACTATTCAGATAAAATAACGATCATTAATATCATTGGCCTAACAAAGGTTTCGGTTTAAAAATGAAATGATAATAAAGCAATCGAAATTAGCTATGAATAAAAACAGATCCCAAAGGTAAATAAGACAGGAATAGGAATGAGAATGATATAATGAAAGGATGCATAGAAATAAGTTGTAAAATATCTTTTGGATGTCTTTTCTTTTATTTAATGTTATTGTAGAAGTACTCATTTCAAAATGTAGTTTGTTCAGTTAACATGGAAGTTTCGTTACGAAGATAAAAGGCCTTTCGAGTACAGAAGGAGCTTCCTATATCCCAAACAGGATAATATTACTAGCGAGAACGATTTTCGGAACATATTTGACCAAAGACAATGATATACCTACAAGTATATCGAGTTGGGCCGAGTACAGGTTTCTCAAAATTGAGTTTTCCTCTCAAAAATTTTTGAAAACAACCCCGGTCTTCGTCCTTGGAAAAACATGTGACAAATACTTATAATCTTGGAAATGAGCAAGTTTATGATCATGTCAAGCGATATTTTCTACTGAAACTGTATAAAATAAGATCTTTCCATAAAAAAAATTATAAAATTAGAATTTTAAGCTTAGCCGATTTTATATAGTAGCTTCTTGACGCACGCTATTCTGTACTTTGATATTACTATGCTCAAGCTGCGATCTATTAAGGTAGTGGCTGAGCATGCGTGATGCTGTAAATTGTTGTGCATCGCATTGCCAATAGATGGGTAGAATACGCAATGTTAGTAATAACCTAATACCTCATATGCGCGCTACTGCGTAAAGGCGTATCGCATTGTGGTTGTGTAACGTTTATTCTCAATATGTTTTCTTCTTTAGTTACTTAACGAACACGATTCGCCTGACCAGTCGCTGTCCACTATAGAATATCTGGAAAGGCAGGAAGTGTTGTTGGACATTCTGAGCAATTCGTTTCAGAAAAGTTGTACAAAAACCCATGTATGGATAAATGACATGAAAATAAGTGATTTATTTTTACTTGCAACTTGCTTCTGGTGAAAGTAAACGAGAACGTTTATTTTACTCAGTTGCGTGATTATGGAATATTGATTGAACTAAAGTCAAAGATAATGCCTGAAATGCTAGTCTGCACACTCGATAATGCGCGCATTGGAATTAAAAGGCGTCGTTGTATTAAAAACCGATGGTCAACCGTTGTAAATGGAAAAAGTATTGTAAAAATTCGGTAAAAATAGAGGGTTCGATTGGAATTATGGTGAAATCGAATTGCTTACTCTAAGTTCATGCTTTATCCTCTATGTCTAGCAAATCTTAATGCCAGAAATATTTCGTATGTTACTACAGCCTGCCCATGGCTTTTTTTATTACAGTTCTGGAACTTTCTAAATGTAAGTTTTACTAATATTACCTGTGAATATAGACTTTTCTTTCTAACATGTATTATTATTAGTTAAAAATGAATGCTCTACAGATAATAGTACTCTGTATAATACAAATAATAATAATGCTCTACAAACTATAGCAAATTTTGCATTGGTTTCGACCTAAGAGAGGCACGTCTTTAAAAATTAGCCAGTATAGGACCTATGTTGCTCATTTGTATTTGATCAAAATGTTTATTTGTTTGCTAATTTTCAAGACTATTTCAGGTTTTATAGCCTGATTCCTAAAATATTTGATGATCACTTTTTTAATCTCGTTTACCGGATGTGCCTTCTTGCCTGTGCATTTTGTAAACGATACCAAACCTAATTACCCACCCGGTTACAAAGTACGAGTGTCTCAGTTATAACCCTGTATACGCATAAGCGATACAATGTGGCAAATATACCTTATGAAATGTTGATACGGAACTAAGTTGAAATGTAGAGTAAATGTCATTCCATAACTTTTCTTAGCTTTAGCAGCAGTATCGATATTTGAATTTTCGACCTTTTGATTTTCCGGAAACTTCGTGATCCTTCTACGACCTTACGTACGCTGATATGAGCTTGCTGACGACTGATTTGCCATTATTTTTCGGTGAGGTGCCGGCTGGTGGCAGGAGCGAGGCACAGCTGGGATTCGAGTCGAAGCCATAGCAAACGGTTGGAATGAGATTAGATGAAAGTAGCCGAATCATGGTATTGCTACTCTCGACCGCCTTGACGCCACATGTAGCTTCAATAATATCGTGTGAGCACTTTTTGTATCGGGCATACACACAACACACGAATGTGATCTTGTTTTGGAATGGTACTTCTTCAAATTTCTCGAAAGCAACTTGACTATCATTCATACACCTCTTTCCGTCAATTTGTGCCTTGGCGAGACATGGGGCTTGCTCTAGGTAGTTATTTCGAAGTTCGTCACCTTTAGTGCAGAATTTTTCACCCTGCTCTATGAATCCGCGACCAGTGAAGAAGGCGATAACCTCCCTTTGCATAGGTGTTGCACACTTCTTTACGTAAGCTGATAGGCACTCAATAGCTTCTCTGATTAGGTTGCAGTATTTGTCAATCTCATCATCGTTTACTGGTACCGCTTTAATGCTGGCGGCTGAAGTTAAGCACAGATCGAGCTCGCGGAGATGACATTCGGTAGAGTAAACCATTGGAATGGGAAATACGGCTAGCACACTGACAACTACGAGACATTTTAGTACTGGCATATTTGTCACTGGAGAACGTTTTTAGATTGAACTTGGTCTATGCTAATGAGCAGCCACTAGCAAAAACAGGATCGCAAACCCGATGTGAACTATCTCGCATTCGTTCCCTTTCAATCAAGGTCGACATATGACAGTGTTCAGTGGTTAGCGTCACAGCTTTGTACCGTCACCTACATAACTTCCTCAGAAAACTTCTTTAAAGGGGAGGAAGCTCTAGAAAGTTAGCTATATAGAAACATCGAAGCAATACCAATTACTGGCATCACGAACATTCTAAGAAAGTGGACTTAACTGAAATACTTTAATAATGAGGCACGCTATTGCAGTCACGCTCGCTTCATATTGAAACTAAAACAACTTTCGAGGTAAAATCGTAAGATCACCTATTAAGTCTGTGAACAACATGACACAGGCGTGGTGCCGATCTCCATTTAGTCACAGTGAGCAGATATGCATACTTGTGCTACCATTTTTCAATATTTCCTAGTAGTAACGTATAGAGCGAACTATTGAAATAATTCTACGACTCACAAACTGAGGCACGATTTATAGAAGTTATGACATCATAGGATTAACAGTATGACTTCTGTGTTTCTGCCACGAGAATTGACATTTTTTTCTCGTGGTAATAAATCATAGACTATACAAAGTATTTAAATAAATTTTTGCTCGTTACGATAAGTAGATACGCATATATCTCGCTTATCGGCTAGCACATTAGAGGATTAACCGAAATTGCCAAGCAAAGTTCGATTTAAAGAATGTTTGTCGAGCGAGGCTGAATGCTCTAAATTTTCAATTTGGAAAAAGTAGATATATATCGAGGGCTTCACTCAGCGCCTGCTGATATGGTTAAATGGAAGTATAGTTGTGAGTGTCATGTATGAAATTAATTCTGTTCTATCTAGCGTGCTTCTTTTGTTATAGACTCAGGATTGGTAGGCATCGAGTTTTAGTAATGTACTGAATCAGCTGGCAAGTCTCGCCCTGCTCGTGTATAGCGGTAGAGTGAAGAATCTGCTCTAATTCAATGTTCTTCCTTTTTTTTTTAGAGTTTCAAAGAGTAAACAACTTCCCTGCAGAAGCCCTGCGACAATTCTTAGCGACTGCAGAGCGAAGCAGTTATTCGCTTGAATTTGCATTACGCTTTATAAGAGAAAGAGTTCTCGTGGTAGAACAGTATTCATCCAACCAGGCCTATCTCACACGCAGCTTTTGCTACAATGAAATTCTAGTGTACCTGCAAATCCTCAGCTCAAAGCAACCACTCTACGAAAATAATTCTAGGGCGACAGGCAGACAGATACTCAAGAACAGACTTCTAGTTATACAGAGAATAGGCTTAAGTGATGACGGTTATTTTTCTGTGAAGTTGTTTTTTTTTATGCATCCAAAAGACGCATAGCTCAGAGCTTTTAGTTTCAGTTTCTTTTTCAATTGTATCAAATTCGATTTAACATTTCTAATTAGTTCAACCAAAATGCCTTCACAGACACTTATCAACATTTCGGGCAATAGAATTTTAGGAGTCAAAAAAAGATTACGTTTAACACTGAACCTATGAATACCGGTCAGTTTGATTATTTAGATACTTTACAAGTTCGCATATTTAAAAAGTTACTAGATCGCCATAGAATTTTATGCCATTGAAAGGAAGCTTGATTTTCAGTTATTTTTCTATCCTTTCATTATTGAAGAGACCCGTACGGTAATAACCTGAAGTAAACGAACTAAAATGATGAAATACGGTTTTAGCGATATAATTTTAATCATGGAACATTTTCAGTTTAGAATATCCCTGTGCTATGTGGCTGGTTCTAGTATTTAACTGGTCCAGGTACGTAAAGCTTTAAATTCAATCGATGTGAGTACAAACTATCCAATAGCGATATAAAGCTAGGTTTTGCAGGGAACTCGCTTATATGTGTGACACAGGAAAGATAATACAAATAAACTCAGATCTAAATTTAATTTTGTAGACGAGACAAATTAAGTGCTGCTAGTTTGGTCAAGAACCTCCTAAGCTATATTGCGTATTGTATGTGCTTGCATAGAACCCATTCACGCGCTGATCGAAAAGTCGGATGATCGTCGATGTATTTTTTCATTCCATAAGACTGATAAATAGTTTCAAGCAGAAGATAGGCTATAACTATCTATAGGCTATAACTAAATGCTGCCTATCGAGTGCAGGCAAACAAATAGCGACCGTAAACTGTTTTTGCCAGCTGATTGCGAGATAGGCTTGCCGCTACCGTTTGATGTTTATTCAAAGAACAAAGTACGAGATGTTATTATCTGTAACCCGTTCGTACCTCTAAGCTAAAGGAAGTTTATCGGTGTTATACAGTTAGGGTGGTGCTTGTCGTCCAGGATGGTTCCGTCTCTAGAAAACATTTACTGATCATTCCATAGGCATAATTCTCGTGTATAATCAAACCGAGTTGAGGAAGTGTAAACGTAATAACTTCTTCAAGAAGCTAAGAAGTTATGTATTCGATTTCAGTTCGTAAGAAAATAAACATCTAAGTTCAGTCAATATAGGTACGTCACTGGACATGCTCACAGGCAATATGCGGAAAGGTCTGCTTTTTTATATATATATATATATATTTTATTTTTCACGATTTAGTAATTTCGTGCGTATTTTACTTTTCAAAATAAACTAGGGTATGCGCTAAGCATGTGCTATTCTCATGCTATTCCAGGTATTTGTGCATCCTACATATCGGATAATGCTACGTTGCCCGCCTTTTTAAATTTCTAATATGTATAAGGACGTCTTGATTTACTTGAGAAGCGTGGTACAAGAACACAGAAGCCATTATTAAATTAGCGGTTTACGTTAACGTGTTCGTTCCGGCTTTCTGCTCCCACCTGGCGTGGCAAGTGTATTACATCGCTGTGAACAGCGAGACCCACGAAATGGGCTTTGTTTATTTTACTCTAACCTATATCGCCATTTTGATCGTTTAACAAATCCGTTAATAATCATCATTCCTACGAGACCACCGACGAAAATCAGGATTTGCACATATGTTCTAACATGCATCTCGTAAAATGTAGCGTGACTTTTTGGTAAAACAATGACGCGGTTCTTAAAATACGTATTATGATCGGCAACCTTTAGTAATACTTCATCAAAACGCATAAACTTATATAGTACTTTATTTGCACACTATATTGTGCTATGTTATGTTCGCTCTCCGCTCAATACACTGGGATATTTAAGGCATAAAGAACGACTTTACATTAGGTCCCAGCAGAGTGGCTGCGTACAAATTCTGGATTTATCATATCTCATATATTTTCTATTTTCTTGTATTTTTAACAATGACTGCCACTTTTTTAACCAAAAAAAAAAGCTATGACTATTTACTCCAGGCCCCACGGTAGAATAGTTGTGTTGCATTACATGATACTAGGTAACATTTATTACAGGTAAAAAGGTTTCGTAACGTAAGTGTTTCTAACTTAATGACAGAGAACATATTATGTCGAGTATTGTGTTGCAAACTTAATAGGAAGAACTTTCGTTTAGAACTAAATGCGGCCTTAAAATGTGAATATGATTAAATTTCGAGGCACCGATAACGAATATAAACGATAAAGACCTGCGCTACATGTAGAAATGTTGCATTCTTTCTTAATTCCCATCAAAGTCCTCGCAAATCAGTATGTCTTAATGCTGAAGGGAGTCATATTTGTCTTCACGATGTATTCGCACCAACGCTGTGATAGAGCGTGGTACGATACCAGCAAACTTGATAGCGATTCAAACTTGAGCACCTCGTCGACCCTCGTTGAGCCACCTTTAGCTCTTTTTAAGGAACATTTCTTGGCGAACGCCCAAGACTTAAGGGTCTAAGAGCGACGACTGCTAATTAAATTCAAGCCTGGCTATGTTGAGCCATAACTGTAGCCTGCCTGGTTGAGTCTGACATCCTTTTTCATATCAAGCTGGCATATACGACAATTCTGAGGAGCACCTTAGCCATTCAAGGGACCATTTGCCTGCTCCAAGAGGTCGCATAGAATTAGTCACCACTGACTTTATCGATTATTATTTTTATGAGTTTTTGGTGTTTCGTTGATCCTGGACTATTTCAGAGCTGGAGTCTCCTCATCTAATGCATATTATATCATCGTTAATCTGGAAACGCTTCGCGGTTAATCAGGTTTGCTATCGCTGTCAGCTTTAGGCGTTTCCCGGCTTGTTTTACCTACTTACTGGCTCAGCTATTCGCATTGTGAAACACCACTATTTATTAAAAAGTTGAGACGAAAATTTGGCCTAAAGCCAACCAAAGGTCTAGCCAAGGTTTATTTGTAAATATTAGTAATAGTCAGATGACCTATACACTGACTTCTCCCTGGCGAATCCGACTAGGCCAGTACTTGACTCAGGTCCAAACGAAAATAGTAGAATGAATAGGCGCATCATGCTTAGGCGCACAATTCACGGTTTCTACCTTTAGATTATTATAATCCTGCCTACTCTTGCAATGCGGACGGCCCTTAATTCGACGTTACGCGCAACTTTATGCGCGAAATTGTTTCCCAAACACGCTGGAATACTTATCAAGCGGGCTTATATCTAATGTCTAAATATATTTAACGTAATTTGCCATAACACTGAGCAAAAGTAGGTAATAAAAGGTTTTCAGCTGATTACTACTATTAATACACATATAATAAGAGTAATAACAACAGTAGCATTAACAGAAAGAATCGTTTACTCATTCTGTATCTATTTTAGCATGTGTTACTCAATCTTTTGGTATATTTTTGTAAGTAATTAACAACGAAAATGACAACGATATATTTGTTTTACAAAATTAGTACTATCAAATAATTGTAGATTTTTGCTCCTATTATTATCATCTTAATGCACTTTCAATATAAGAAAGTTAAACTAAGTAGGACTTATTACACTATGAATGATAATTACATTATGAATTTGTTTCATGATTTATTGCGCTATTTTTATTAGGTTTGAATCAGTTTGTTCTCTGGTTGTTGTTTCATAATATATTTGACGGATTTTAATTGCTTGACCATCGGTTTTGAAATGTTCATCGTACGCATGGAAGCTAAGGGACACCCTAAAAGGCCATATTAAATAGCTCACGGCAATAGCCTCTCCTAGAAGTGTAAATCGAAACCAGAACGCGAGTAACCATCGTCAGACGTACAGACATATCCCCTCCGAGCACATGCGGTCCTTTTATCCGTCATGACATTGTCTTTCGAAAATCCTGGTGGGCGTTATGCAGCGATACTCCGACCGCTCTCAGATCTCTGCTGACCTGTCTCTGTTCAGTTTACTGGGCTTTATTTCGAACATTAACATCAAAGCTATTTGTCGACAAAGCACCCTTGATAGGTCAACGTTATATCTGCATAGATTTCACCGGGATACATGCAAGTGTATCTGTGTTCAATTGAAACGTTGGCAATTGGAACAATGCCTCTTTGAAACTGAATTTAACTAGTAGTAAGATAAGACTTACCAATTTAGGCGTATCAAGTGAAGCTGTCAGAAGGTGTTATCAGTGACGCTATTTTTTTGGCGAATCTAACCGCTATTGCGATGTTCTTACCAGGCATAGTGGCAGATCCACATTGTTTAGGCTGTTTGTCACACGCCCCAGCTGATCGAGCTTGCCCAGCTCATTTAGCTCACTTTCACTGGATACCTCCATCGGGGCCACCGGCATTGCCTTCACGTCAATATGTGGCTACACCCCTGCCGGATCCACCGCCGAAGCCGCAACGTATGCTGTTCCGTAGGCGAGATTCGCTGCCAGGTCCTCCTCCCTACCAGATCGCCGCTGCAAGATTGCTCCAAAACCCAGGGTTCGGCTCTCGTTCATTGACTCGTGCGTCGACCGTAACGAGTACGGTGAGTACAATTGAGAACGCTAACGCAGGCCCCGAGGCTACAAAGAGAAATTCTTTTAATCCTGCGTCTGGTCATTGGGAATGCGTCGAATCCGCTTCTTGCAGAAAATCGGCACTAGTGATGTCGGCTAGTGTAAATAACAGACAAAGTCCTGGAACTCCGGAAGACTGTAAAAGACGCCGGTCTGTCACGCTTGAGAACGCTGATGGTGTGCAAGTGATTTCAAATGTCAATGGCGACAAGGACGCTATAAATAAATGCACTGGCACCAAAAGCAAGACAGGGTTACTTCCTGCGTTACGTATTCTGGAACGGAATGATGTTTTGTCTGGGATAAAACTCGCTCGAAGCGGTGCGTGTAATGATGTTGCCCATAAAGGTGTGCAATGTGGCATTGAACCCACATGCGAGAATGGTCAGTGGCCGCCGCGTCGAAAAGGACCTCGTTTAAGGCTTAACCGTGTCTTTTTGGGTCGCGGCTTTCGGTGCAACGGCAGCAGCGGTCTAAGCGAGCAACATATTCCGGAGGGAGTAGCCATAGGAAGGCGTAAGTTTTAATCAATTTGAAAGATGTTTGCTTATTTCTTTTTTAGTTTTTTATTGCGTTATTGCATCATACCGAAAACTAGTTATTGGAAATGGGAAATGACTCAAGCAAATATAACTACAAACAAATATGATAATTTTTATGAGTTCTTTAAAAATACGGCGGCTTCAAAAACACTCTAAAATTAGCACCATAAAATGTCGAACCTGATGTTTACGAATAGTATGAGAATGGCTTCGAATCTAAGACAAATACCTATTCCTCTTTGAAAGGATACAATGGGCGTCATTGGTTTATGCTGTAATTCATCAAAATAGGTAATTCTATATGAGACTATTTCGGATCACATTTTCGTCAGCTTGCTGCAAATAATTTAATTTGAAATAATCTTGCTTCTTCTCTATTTAAAGAATACTCCAAACACATCAAAGCGCTCGCTCAGTAGCATCGACGATAGCGTTGTTCAACATAACCTAATCTTGATATGATAATACTTGCGTTTCTCAAAACATACCTTCTTTAGTATTACTTTTGCTTTGTTGGCTCGCCTGTAGCGTTATTTAGCAGTAATAGTAGCTTAATTGTATTAACTTAAATTGAGCTCCGGCTGGTGTCATCTTTTTGATGCACCGCCGTTCGAAAACGTCACGGATGGCTGATTATCTAGACGACAGTTGAGACAGTAGCGGCAAGGCTGAGTACCGCGATAAACTTTGTGCTGCCAAACAACTGCACTAACTACATGTCCTAGCGTGGTCAATTGCCACTTGGAGCATACCAGTTCTGTTTCTCAGAGGCAACTTGCATTGGTGGACGCCCTTTTACCTTTATCTATAGGAAAGATGAAAATCACAGGAAGACCCTTACTGAACGACCTCGCAACGATCGTCGGTAGCGGCAACTGACGTCGGTTCTAATTCAAGCTGATTTCAGCGTAAGCCTCTTTAGCGAGGAATACATTTGGAAACGGGCCGTAGACTACAGATTGCAGTAGTCAGAACAACCGCCAGCGATCGGGCACTTACCTAGCTTAGCTTACTCCTTCGGCCACCAAAGCTATTCTATGGGTGAGATGAAATTGTTTGATTCAAAACGTTCTTAGTGATGACAGTCGGAATGATGCTACTGATGCTGTTGTTATTGTTGACGGCGCTGTTCCCGTGTTGCTTCCACTGACCATGTTGACTCTGATATCGCGGTAGTGGCAACAGATACCAGTGGCTGGGAGTTCTTTCGTCTGGGGTGAAATATAAGGACACCGGCATGCTAACGGTGTGTCTCGGCTTGGGTCGCCCGCATTGTTGACTGCGGCTAAGGCGCGCACGATCGTGGTGGTTGCGTCAAAAGCAGAAATCGGTCCAAATAGGCCCCCTTTCCGCCTTTATCTCTCGTTTCGTTCATTCGTTCTCTCTTCCGCTCTTTCCTTCTTGCTTGCTGCCTGCAACCCCTGGACAAAAACCGTTACGCTTGTCGATTTGCCACAAGGCACTCAACGGCGACAGAAGCAGCACGGGCTGCGACGGTGGCCATTACGGTTGTTCTTCATTATCAAATAAAAAAGAGTGACAAATTCAAGAGAGTGTGAAGCGAATAGAACGATAAAGACGATAAGCTCAAGGGGCTCTAACGTTATGTGAACATGAGGGTTGTGGGGCGGACATATACTTATATGTTTGGAAATTTGGATCATCGACGTGGTGTTTCCTTGGGCTGTAAAGTTGTTTTCAATCACAAACCAGATTTATTTCAGCAAGAAACATATTGGATTCACGACTATAGCGCACCATATCTATTATATATAGAAGGTTTCTTCGTTGGACCATCATGATTGATTTACCCGGGGTTTCGTGGAGACAGGACCACTGTGAGCGGAGACTGAAATCGCATTCATAGGCGTACCAATGAAAAAGAGGTTCTTATTGACAATATATTTTAAAGTCATTACTATATATCGCTACGTAATGCGTACACAATCAGATGAACATGAAAAGATAAAACCCAACACAACTATTATTATGACCTTTGTCATGATTTCACGTGTGACGCTCATCGGTGATCTGGTTTTCGTTCTTCGATGTATTTCCGATAGGCAAAGCGTTCTACATCTAAACTTCCAGACATGGTGACAGTATCAAAGAAAAGTCTTGTGCTATACTGCTGCTTTTCGCCGCACCCACGCCGGAGTCGCAGGTGGGTGTGCGATCTGATTAAGGTCAGAACACTTGCCTGAGTTTAGACACTGCAGCGCCTGAGAAAGTCGCCTATATTACAGCACGTTGGTTTTACCGAATGTTTCTTGCACAACATCTCTGTGTTTGCCGGCACTAGTTCCAGACACTACTGTTCCGTAGGTTCATGGGATCGCCATTACATAATTAAGCCTGCTAGAATCCTGCGGGCACATGGCCGCGTAGACAAGCAGATTGTCTAGTCTAGCGGCTGACTGAATTAAAGCCAGCACAAAGGAGGTAGACTTGGCCTGGTCCGGGACACCTTTTCGAGACCTGCTGTCCGGGTCTCCTCAGTATCCTAAGAATCGTTGAAGCGATGCACTCATTTGATATGTGAGATTCGTGGACACTTCAGTGGTTATGAAAATGATTGTGAACGAAACATTCGTTTCATGGTTTACTTTGTGGATTATACGTGTTTGTAGGTACGAGGCCTTCGATAAAGACGAATGGTATGCGATTGTGAGTTATGAGTGCTAACAAGTATATATTCGATTGACTCATGATCATCCCAACTAGATGTATTTTTTTACCGCAGCTTGCTTCGTACTTCTATGAGTGGAAATGCTGAAATTTCTACGGACCCGCCCATCTGCCGATACGTTTTCTGACGGTATGCTATGTCGGCACACTAAAGAGTCAGCTGTGTTACGGGGTCCACCTTTACTGAACCTCAACTATAGTTCCGTCTACGAGGATAATGACATCGAAAACGTTCCATTGCTAGCGGCTAAGCGGTGTTTACGAAGAGCATTTTCAGATCGGACCATCCGAGATGGAAATGAACACTTCGACAATTGGCAAGGCTCCGAGCCAAAAAATAGATTGGACTCGCTTTCTGCCACGGACGAGGCTTCCTCTTCCACGGCACATTCGTTGCCTTATTTCGATATGCAAAAGAGCGAAGCTGGAGTCGACTCTCAGGTCCCATATCGAGCGCATGTGCCTGGACCTAGCTGTACCTATGAACCCTGCCAGTGTTGCACGACTGAAACACAACAGCAAAATTTAGAGTACTTCAAGTCATCGGGTTCTGAAGATCACCTTCCTCGAGTAGTCGATGCTGTCTCGAAGGATCTTGTCGTTCCTAAGGCTCCGCCAAGCTTTCAGGATATGGAAAACATTTGTTTTTTCTCTACACAAAATTGGAGTGAACCTCAACAGCAGCTATTGTGTCCAGAATATGCTCAAATAGTGAAGCGCAGTGGAAAATTAAAAGTCTTTTCTGACTCTCCATGCTCTCTAATGACGTACAATCTTGAATCTGATCCAGTTCGAGTTAAAAAGTCAAAGGAGCACCGCAATTTAAAAGGGCGTCCCCGCAAAATTTCTATATCTGACATCTCTTCACCGCTACCTCGCCTTAGAGTCATACCTAGACCCGTGAGTGAAAATGAAGTTAATGGGCCTAAACTTCAGCACTCATTTTTTCGTCGTAGCATAGGACATTTAGAGAGAAGTAATTTATCGTCGGAAACACAAAAAAAAATTAGTAACAGGAGCTTTCGATGCCCCACACGGAACCTACCTCGGATGGGGGTAACCCCTCCACCACGATCCGGTACGTTATCAGATTTACTACCAGAAAACAGTAACATAACTAATCTAGACAACATTGAATCATCAGCAACAGGACGTCACGAGCCCGATACGACAGACTCGTCCTCATCTGCTTCATCTAAAGGGTCGATCTTTGGTATTGGATATCGTTTAAATCTTGACGAACTTTGTCCTGAACGAGGCTCATCGCTTAGGCGTTCCCTTCTCGAAAAACTTCAGCAAAGGGCAATCCTTCTAAATCGCGTAAACTCGATTATAGAGCAACCAAAGCTTATGGGATCTTCAACTACAGCCATATCATCGGCAGTAGAGACAACCGATACAGGGGTACAGGTCGACACGATAAAAAATGCGGTACTCGAATTCGATAAGCTTGACGAGGAGTATGTGTGTGAATGTCACCTTCAGGAAGAAGTAAAAGTCGCAAACGTAACATCGGCACTACCAAGCAAATCAAATAGAGAGAAGAGCAAATCCTTGAGGGTCTCAAAACCAAAATGGAAGGACAACGGAACTAAAGGTTGCAGCGACAAAGGTCTGATCTCTGCCTCGTCTTCTTCCTCCGTTTATTACCAGAAACGTAATCGAATACGGATGGGGTATTTGAACAGTATCCGATGTTTTTTTAAGGACGACTTGAAGAAAAAAGTTCAAAGAGCGACCAGTTCTCCATCAGTTAGCTCACTCGACCATATCGACCCGAAAATGATGCATAAGTACAATGGATTGGTCGATTCAGGTTATGAAGAAAACGGGATAGCAGTCATATCTAGCCCCCGTTCTCTTCATCTTTTGGAAGTGAGTCCTTACGAAGTTAGCGGAGCCTTCCAACTTGTGCCTAATGTTGAACAGACGGAACGCCGAAGACCGCTTTCACCAACGGATGCTCAAGAATTCACACGACTTAATATAGAGAATGGTGAGTTCTTTTGTACTATTATTTCAGTGCTAATACGTTAACTCTGGTGGAAGGACAAACAGCGCCAACGAAACGTCTAGTCGGTTTGATAATGCTCTGACGTCACAATACGAGACAGTTGTTAAGTGCGACATGCAGAGTTAGAGCAATTTGTATGTCAATTTGAATCATAATATTATAAACAATCTTTATTATTTTTGTTTTTACATTTTATGTACATAAGAAAATAGGATAAGTACCCATAATAATAATTTGTATGACTACATTTAGCTGTTGGCTACGTTGTTTACGTTGGCCATAATCAAGCATTCACTGTTCCATACTATTGATATGGCATTCTTTTTCGTCGTTGTTATAGTGGAACAGCTATACTTAAAACAAGATACACGAAACAACTCTATATAGACCCGTTGCCGTTAGTGATAGTTCTTCGTTAGGCCATCTGTTAAAGGTTTACGTTCAGGTAATTTGTTTGATCTCATCGGTACTGAACTGCAGTTTACAGGAACTTTCATTTCTTCTTCTACAGACAGTCGCTTGGAGCATTTAACAAGTCCGAGCTGTACTGTGGGCCAGGATTTTTCATGGGTTTTGGCCTCGAAAGCATGAGTCCTTTGGGCTCGTTTCGGTACTGCCACTGTGTTAATTCATTAACTGTCAGAGTTATTCCTTCAGCCTGCCGTTCGCTTGGACTATATTTATGAACAGTCCTTTTTTTTTTTTTATTATCTTTCTGACCTCATTGGCTGCGACGGACTTCTAAAGAACAATGCATATACTGAATAACGGTTCTGGATTTTATGAATGGCCGCGCGTATCATAATCACCATCATCAAATCTTCCTGTTCAAAATAAAACTGCATTAGTCGTGACGTACGATACTATGTTGTTCTAGATTCGGTTACACGTACTTCAAGAGAATCATGAAATCTGGGTTTTTTTTTATGAATCGGATCTTTAAAACAGGTTTGGATCCCATTCTCACGGATTAGTAAAATGAGAGATATCTCTACAGGCAGATATTGAAGTTACTACTGACGACGGGCATAAAGTTCTTGCAACAGCTGTTGCCATTAACCGTATCGGGGTCGAATACTGCTTCCGTAGCTCACTAAGAAGTTTATCGTCGATATGTTTATATCTCGCTATTGTATAATATGCGAGGTTAAAATTAAGAAATCCATTTTTAGTTGAAGACAGGTTCTGAATCATGAGGGGTAAAGCGCTAAAAAGTGATGCTACACGCGTAAGTTTGAAGCGATTAGTATATCTCTTGTTATCTTTGTTGGTGACACAACAAAGAAACAGGGGCAAATAAGTTACTGGAACAGACAGCTCTTAGCGACTGGCAGCGTTCGTTAGAGTTTGACCGGGTTGCATGAAGAGCATGAGTTAAATCAGATACGTTTCAACGTCCCTACGCCATATATGTCGGCTATTAAACCTTTTTAATAAGCAGCGATATCCTTTATTTTTATCCTCATACCAAATCCATTTCTAATTAGCTGACAGGAACTCAGCACACCGATGGCGCAGTAAATTTAAAGACAGTATCTGACTACGGCTTGTTCGTACTCGACGTCAGTAAACAGATTTGTTTTTCAGTTCTATTAGCGTTGGTATTTGTTGTGAGGCTTGGGTCTCGTGTTCAGTTCTTGTTTCGCAGAGTCGTTTGTTACGGTTTTTTTTTTTTGCTGTAAAGATGCCACCCTTACTATAAAGCCCCACTGATAGTACTTTGCGCACCCATTTACCGTTCGATTTACGGTCAGTCGCCGTCAGGTCTTTTTGGTGTCGTGGACCACCTATTTTGACGCAACGAGCAATTACATGCATTAAAACCGCGCACTATCAACTTCGTATATCTGTTGTCATATTGTGAAACCATGGTCGACTATTAGTGGAAATTGTGTCGACGTTTGTCATTAAGCTATTTTTAAGCAAAATCATATAATGATTTTGCTAAAAATACGTACATCCGTATATACGTATCAATGAGAGATGGCCGCGATCGAATGATCTATTTTTTACCGTATTGCTTTACAGGGAAAAAATTGCCATTGGAATTCGTAACCACTGCTGTAGCATACAGACACTGCCGGAAAATTAGTTATACGCAGCCTAAGCTTCAGCGGCGGTGGAGTAGGTGTTCTAGTCAGAACGTCGGTTCAATGCCGTGAAGCAGATCTGGATATAAACGTAGCGATTATCGCATCTGGCCTATGCTGTCCTGAATAAGATTTGTCGTTGAATCTCTGAGGGGCGGTGACAAAATTGTAACCAGCGATTTCACGAAGTTTAGTATTTTCCTGTCCATTTTTCGTAATATCTGACGGTAAAAATATAAGGAAATAAGCAGGTGGCATGATTTTGGCGTTAAAAGCTCTGCATCTTTGGTTTTGTAAATCGAATGAGGACGGTATAGCCCCCCCAGCACCCCCCAGAATTTTGAGCAATATATGATTACGTCGATTTCCGAAACAGCGCCAACCCAAATGTTGACCACTACAGGCCAGTGGTATAATCCAATAATGGGCCTTGTACAGCAAAAACAATCTGATGTCTGAATGTATCTACTGTCATTACCTAGAGTATTTAACAAAATAATTTGAACTAACAGATACATTAATTTCCTTCGACGTCGTTAGGCGCTAACTTTCCTGGTTATTTAATTACTTCAAAAGCCGATTTTTCAGCATTAAACCTCAATAATTGTTTTTGCAGGAGGAGCTTGCTGATAGCACAGCCCGCGAGGCACTTCCCTCGAATTATATTTTTAATTTTTTAGCACATATGAAAAGCACCCTATAGTATAAAACACAATATGTTTACCAGTCGTCTTAAATTATGGAGTCGCTATCATAATCCTGTAGAACGACCTGCGTTACAAATAGCGATAGAAAATGCGTTTCAATATCGTGAACAGAGAGCATAACCCTTTCCGATTTCCAATGAGCCGACCTCTGAAGCTTCGACATACTGTTGTAACTTGGATGGTATTTGGGTGCTTAAATCTATAAAAGATCTCGGTAACATCGATTTTACGATTTCAAGTTTTACGACCAGTATCGCTGTCAAGCACTCCATGGGAATGCACCTACATTGGAATGCCCGCCGGCAATCTGTAGCACTATGTTGCATTGTTTCATTATTAAAAAATTTGAAATTTCTAATCAAATTTTTGATAATTTACAATTATCAGATTGTGCCTATATCGCCGTCCTTATAGAGTACTGCTGTTAAAATCAACACGATAAAGCTCTTAAATATGGCTAAATCTAAATGTATTTGGCGTACCCAGCAAGAATATGCTATCCATAGAAGAGTCGTAACCCTTGTTCGGTAGATCAGATAGGTGCCTGCTTGATTGTACCCAAAGGTCTAATCGAGTTCAAGTATTCGGACCTGCACCCAAATCATCCAAAAGGAAGACTGACAATAATTTCTGTTGAAGTGGCTAAAATCTCAAGGATTATTAACATGTTTATGTGCCGAATGTGCAGGGCATTAAGACAGCGAAATTGAATAGATTTTTCCAGGGGCCATGGGTAGTTTATCTGCGTTTGCTGATAACAGTTATCTCTTTCCAACAAAATACATGCGATTCGAAATGTCAATGGAAACGGCATAAACACGCGGGTAGACATGTTAGATTTTTTTGAAAAAGCGCGCCGAACTTTTCTAGAGTTAGACGCTACTGACTTGTCCAAAAAATATATATTGAATGCAATTTAATAGAATACATAACGTTTACACTGTATTCCCACGAGCAGCAACTTTGAAAGTGGCGAACCTTTTAATAATGTTCGGTATTTGGGAGTTTAGAAAGACGTTGAGATGGGATCGAATAGTAACCGAGTAGCTTTCAATGTACCGCTGCTTACAAAAACCAGTATCGGACTCATTGCTGACATGTAGCAAGAACCGCTCACGCACAGGAAATTACGAAAGCCATAAGATCATAACATATCAGCAAACGCAGTGGAACAGCGTTATTCAAGCTTTACATGCCAATGTAATAAGTACAGCAAGTTACAAAAAATGCAAGCTAGACTTTTGCCGGGTAGCTACAGTAATAGGAAAACCAGCCCGTTCGCGATCGCCTCCGTTGGGCAGGTTTATTGAAGACATCTTTTGTGCAACAATAATATGACGCACTGCTTTGGCCGCCGACTATGCCAGGATTGAAGCCGGGACCGGGCAATGACCAAAATAAGGACCCGGTAAGGTAAAACCAGCGGACTCGTTCTGACCGAGGCGTCACCTGTCAATAATCCATCTATATCTATCCATGAATAAATGTCTGTACACATGGTTAAATGTAACAAAGGAATATCGACACGTTCGATGTTACCCTTACGCAGCGGTTACGTGAGCATCTTCTTTTGATTCGCTAACGAACGAATTGCAGCGTGGCATCCCGTAGTGTTATAACAAGATCAGGAATGAAGACAGCGCGCCCGCAGTCGAGCGTGTCGTCAACGACAAACTCATAGACGCTTTTAGCTACGGGTCGGGTTCATCCCAGTCGCGCAATCTGCCAAGTGAAGTGGAGCTGTCGAAGGACGGTTGTGGCCGTTGCTGGGGGCTAAAATAGCTCATGATGAAGGGCCTGTTGCAGTCACTTGTAACTGGGGCGAGCGAGAGAGCCGAAAGGTATGGAAATTATAGCAAAAATCTTGTCAAATTCAACCAACCAACCTCTTTTTTGTGGAAGTTTGCTTTCAGCAAGTCTTTTTAAATTTATATTTAAAATAATATCCGTATTATTATTATTATTTATATTTTTGTTTTCCCTACTATATGTCGCAATTTGACCCACACTGCTCATACGTCGGATACTGTAACCATGTATGATATCTTTTCAAAGGGGTACGTGACATGCCAATTTCTTTAAACGGAAATTTGCTTTTATTATGCTCTGTAGACCCAGGCGTCTTAATAGAATTACCGCCATTACCACGTCTTCGAGCAATTATGTAGTTAAAATCCAGCACGCG